GTAATTATTAATACATAAGGACTTGCTCCTGCCTATTGTTTATTTTCTGGCTGTTTGGTAGATCCTTTGTTCATTTCTGTCTCTTTTTCTATCTTCCTTTGTATTACTTTATTTAATGACATGCTTTGATTCTTTATTTTTCATATTTTGTGTTTCTACTACAGGTTTTTACTTTGTGATTACCATGAGGCTTACTTGAAACATCTTGAGTTATAAAAGGCTATTTTAAGATGAAAATAACTTAATGTTGCTTGTATAACACTACATTTTTATTTCACTCCCTAGACACATTGGTGTTTGATGTCAATTTATATCTTTGCGTATCTCTTAAATTACTACATATGTTATTATTTTAATATTTTGTCTTTTAACCTTCTTACTAAAGATATAAATGATTTGCAGGGCTAGGGTTGTGGCTCAGTGGTAGAGTGGGTGCCTAGCACGTGCAAAGCCCTGAGTTCAATCCTCAGCACCACATAAAAATAAATAAAATAAAGGTATTGTGTCCCAAGACAACTAAAAAATAAATATTAAAAAAATAAGTGATTCACATACCACCATTTTGGTATTTGGGTATTCTGAATTTGGCTGTGTATATACTATTACTAGTGAGCTTTACACTATGTTTTTCTGTTACTAGTTAGCATTCTTTTCTTCCAGCTTGAAGAACTTCCTTTAGCATTTTTTGTAAGGCAGATCTGATGGTAACAAATTGCCAGTTTTTAAATTTTTTTATTTACTTATTTTGAGGTGCTGGGGATTGAATCAGGACCTTGCATGTACTAGACAAACACTCCAACATTTAACAACACCCCCTGCCCTTTTTATATTTTATTTTGAGATAGAATCTCCATGAGTTGCTCACGCTGGCCTCAAATGTGCAGTTCTTCTAACTCAGCCTCCCAACAAGCTGGGATCACAGGTGTGAGTGTGAGCCACTGTACCTTGCTATATTTATTTTAATTGACACATAAATGTATTAATAAGATACAGTGGGATATTTTTATAAGAATCAATGATCAAATCAGGGTAATTGGCATATCATCACCTCATATATCTATTTTCCCTCAGTTTTTGTCTGAAGTTTGTTTTGAATGTTTGTCTCCTCTCCAAAATTCATGCAGAAACTTAATGCAACCAGTATTGAAAGGTGGCCCATTTAGGAGGTAGGTTGGTCAAGAGAACACCTCCCCCGTAAATGGGATGAAGGTGCTTCCTGTCCTTTTGTCCTCTTCCATGCAAGGATGCAGCAACACAGTGCCATCTTGGAAGCAGAGAGCAGTACTCACAGACTGAACACACTCGTGTCATGATCTTGGCTTCCAGCCTCCAGAATTATCAGAAATAAATTTCTGGTGAAAATCAATTTGTATCCAGTCTCAGATATATTGTTATAGCAGCGTAAACAGGCTAAGATACCATCCTGTTTTCTCCTGGTCTATAAGGTTTCTCTAGCCCTTTGCCAGCCTTATTGGAACTCTCTTATATGAGAGCTTCAATAGCAGACTAGATCAAGCAGAAGAAATTTCTGAACCTGAAGATGGGTCTTGGCTGTCTTCAGAATCCTCTCTTTTTGTTTTTGATTTTTGACAATTTGATTATAATATGTCCCAGTGTATTCTCGTTTGGGTTGAATTTGATCAGTGATCTAGAATATTCCAATACCTGGATTTTACATCTTCCCCCAGATCTGAAAGTTTTCTGCTACTATTTCTAATTTGCCCTTTATCTCTCTCATCACCTTTAGGACCACTTGTATTTCAAATATTTGTTCCTAGGTTGCTGTCCTTTAAATTCCATAAACTATCTTCATTATCTTTCATTTTCCTCTGATCTGTTTCTCCTCCTCTGATTGTGTATTTTCAGGTAACTTATCTTTGGGTTGACAGTTTCCTTCTTTTTCTAGACATCCATATCTCTTATAAAACCTGAGAAAACTTCTACAGTTTTTTTTTTTTTGTTGTTAAATAAGTTATCTGTGCTTTTCTCCATTTCTCCTCCCTCTGACAATCTCATAATGTGAAATTTTGTTCTCTTATTGGTGTCCTATAAGAAGTATAGAATAATTTCTTCATTCTTTTCTCATTGTTTTTTCTTTCCCCCTGACTACGTTATTTCCAAAGACCTATCTTCAGGTTTGTAAATTCTTTTTTTTTTTTTCTGCTTGATCTAGTCTGCTGTTGAAGTTTCAATTGAATATTTTATTTCATTCATTGAGTTCTTCAGCTCAAAAATTTTTAAAAAATATTTTTTAATTGTCAAGGGATCTTTAATTTAATTTATTTATTTATATGTGACGCTAAGGATCAAACCCAGGGCCTCACGCACGCCAGGCAAGTGGCTCAGCCCTCAAAGATTTTTTAAAATGATATGTATCTCTGTCAAATGTCTCATCCAGATCATTAATTGTTTTCTTGATTTCATTGAATTGTTTCTGTATTCTCTTGTACCTTGCTGAGTTACCTCAAAATCATTATTTTGATTTATCAGGCAATTCATAAATTCCATTCCTTTGGGGTCAGTTATTTTATTCCTTTAAAAACAGGATGGATCTTAGTCTGCTTACACTGCTATAAAACTGTCATGCTTCTTTCCTTTCATGTTTCTTGTGTTCCTGTAATGACTTCTGCACATCTGGTGAAACAGTTGTCTCTTCCAGTTTTAGAGTGGCTTTCATAGGGAATGAATTTCAGCTGCACTTGGGCCCCAGGGAGTTTGCTGTTGGGTGGTGTGTGTGCTCTGGAATAGTGTAGCCTTGGTGCAACTTTTTAATCAATGTCTCCAATGATGTGAAAGCCCCAGCAGCCTAGGGTCCAGAATTTTGTGACAACTCTGGTGGCAAGGTTTTTCCACAATGGAAAGAGACTTAGCCGAAGGACTCTGTCTTTGTGATGAACCTGATAAGATGCACACTTAGCTAAGGCAGCACTGTTCCAGGCCTTAGGTGCTTGAAGTGGCTGTGGAGCTCAGGTCCAGGGTTCGGTGTCTTGTTGATCTACTGAGACTGCTGTGATATGGATACAGGCTCACTCTTTAAGGCATGAGTGGATGCAATTCTCCCACAGAGCCAAGACTGTGACTCTGAGGAACTTTCCAGTAGCTTAAGGACATAATTGTGACTCTGATGCTGGGGTCAGGACCCAGCACTGGCATGGCTTCAGGCAGGAAGGCGTGCTACAGAGGCTCAGACCTTGAGGAGCCGGGCACATCTGCAATTTGGGTTCCAAAGCCAATAGGGCACAGTGGAAACTTGAGCACCAGAACAAAGCATACTATATAGTGGTGACTATGGGACACAGCAGTGGTACAGGCTCTGTGAAGCTCCATGTAATGGCAGTGATGTATCAGGAATGGTGAAGCACAGTTGTGGCTTGCTCTTTGAGATGGGAAGGAATGCAACATTGCCTTCACTCCCTGTGACAGTGAGGTGCCTCAGCAGCATGGACTCTGAAGGGTAGGCCCAGACCCATAGAGGTGGATGCTGTGGCTATTCAGTCCTGAGGGTGAGGACACAGATCAGCCAAGGTCATGTTTTCCATTGGGGGTATTGTGCGAGGATGGGTGCTATGCTAGTTCAAGCATCAAGGTTGTGGTTGTTCACATGGGCCAAAGATCCATTTCCCTGGGGTCAGGGCAACAGATTGGATGAGGCACTGAGGGGTCATGGCTGCTTCACTAGCTTGAATGTAGCTTTTCCACTGGGTCTGTCCATTCCTTGAGGGATAGGACACTACATGGGCTCAAGAGCTGGGGTCTCAGCTGTTCTGACAGGCCTGTGCTCCAAGTAGCCAAAGGCAGGATGCAGCAGTAACTGGGATGGGTAGATGAAGCGTTTCCTAGGCAGCTTGTTACCAAGGTATGGGATAGCTGCAGGAACTTGGCTGGGGAACAATGCACTACCATGTTGAGCATGGTGCAACAATTGCAGAACCTCAGGGATAGAGGTGCAGTGGCTCCTGTTTTCCAGTAGCAGTTTAGGTCCTTGAAGCTTCAGACTAGGATCTGGAGTATGGTTACATGCAATGAATTGTCTCAGCAGCCTAGAGTGCAAACTAGCTATAGCTGTGATATCTGAGATACAGGCTATCTGAATGCACCCACAAAGCTTGAGTATGTAGTACAGATATTTTAAGAGGGATTGCATCTCTGGCATCAGGGTCTATGAAGGGTTTGGAGACATGGCAGCTCTTTCCCCAAAGCAGCTCAACAGTACAGACAACTTCTGAGGGTGCAGTGAGGAATGTACAGCTTTGTCTCCCTCTCTAGGGTTCTCTGGCAGAAAAAGCTGTTGGGTACCCAGTAGCAAGAGATGCAGGTGTCCAATAAGGAGCAATACACCGGGAATACAATGGCTCCTGCTGAATGGCTAATGCAGATGGCCTATTCCTTTATTTTTTTAGTTTCTAGCTCCCCACCCTTGCTCTCTCTGGGCATTTTGTGAAAAGCTGAGTGCGCACGTGCGCGCACACACACACACACACACACACACACACCAGTATTTATTAACTGCAAAATAATAACTTTAAATAAAGCTATAGGTACAAAATCAGAATGAGTATGTCATTATGTTGGCCATACATAGGTGAGGGCATCTTCCTGAACCCTGATATTAAATTATTAACATCATCAAGTGCAAGGTCTTGGGTTTAAGCCCCAGCAATGGGTACGGGGGTCATCATAAATTAGAATGTGTTACCAGAGGCTGGGAGGAAACAGGAAGTGGGGAGTTCTATTTAATGGGTATACAGTGTTAAGTTTTATAAGATAAAAAGAGGAAGCCCATGCCTGTATTCCCAGTGACCTGGGAGACTAAGGAAGGAGAATCACAAGTTCTAGGCCAGCCTGAACAATTTAGCAAGATACTGTCTTAAAATAAAAAGGATTATGATATAGTTCAGTGGTAAAATGCCACAAGAAAAAAGAATTCTGGAGATGGATGGTGGTGATGATTGTAAAACATTTTGCAGATTTTTAATATCACTAAACTGTACACTTTAAAATGGCTGATAGTAAACTTTATTTAGCAGGTCATATACATATATTTATTATGCATATTTTACTACAATGAAAAAATGAGGAACAAATAAACAACATGAATGAGACAAAGCAAAAATCACTTTAAAGACAATATTTCAGGCCAGGAAAGACCTGGCTAGAGTCTAATTAGTGATACTAACAGTAGAAATAGGCAGTTTGAAAACACAGAAAAAGAAAACTTATACCAGAGATGGTGAAGGAGATTATTAATCTGGAACCAGAGGATTCTAGTCACTGAGAATCATTTTGTTATAGAGCAAGGATGGTTTACCAACTTCACCATGATCTAGAATATAAACACATCTCTCCACTCCAAAGCTGTTACTCTTTTGTTTTACAAAAAACTCATGCCGAAACCTCTGGACAGGTGAACTGACATGCAGAGTGTTTTGTTTAGAAGACACTGTAAAACAGGTAGGTATAATTTCCATCACTGAAAAGAAAGATTGCCCTTTGTAAATTTAATGAGATGGCATCCTAATTTACTCATATTCTTCCTGATCTGGTGGTTAAAAGTCAGTTTCCCTTTCTGATCAACTCAAGATTGACTTGATGAATATGAAAAATCAATAGCAAAAAGTCCCTTAACAATGATGACCCACCAACAACCAACTGCAGTTAAGAGAACTTTATTATTTAAATATCACTCTCCCTTCCCCATAACCAACACAGGACAAAATTCACTGATAAATAGCAAAAAGCATCAACAGAATACCACATATTTTTAGAGATCTACTTTGTCAGTTTTCAAAGGAATAACAAAAAAAGTCAAGAGATCTCATTAAAAGTATTTAGACAGATCATAATTTGAGGATTCCAAACTACTTATTTTTCAAAGAAATATCCCAGACTTTAAAAGAAGAATCAAAAGAAGAAAAATCATAAACAAAAATTAAAAAAAAATTCTTAAAAAGGTGAAGAGAAGTCACAATTTGGTTTCATTTTATTTGAAGCAGATTATTAAATAAGACCATGACTACATCCATGGAAACTTTCTGAAAGAACAAAATTTTGTCTTACTGCAAAGATTAAAGCAGCTTCAGGAATCTGAAAAACACTCATTCTTTTATGACCACCTCTGCTTGCTCTTAATGTATTCCAAATTCCTGTTCCATATTGTACTTCAATGTAGAAACATAACGTTGGCAATAAAGTTCCATTAGATACTTCATGATAGTTCTGCTGGAGCAGGTTGGGGGACTCCCTCTTTTAGAAAATACAGATGGAGTCAAATGCCTTAGAAGTTCTAGTTGAAACATGGTCCTCTGTATTAGACTCTTGAAGAAATCAATCAGCTCCTTCTACAGCTGTTGTAGCCACAGGTTTCACATAGTATGGACCTTCACTCAGGTAAGTTCTCAGTCTCAAATAATTTGGGTTCCCAAAGATTTCTGCAATTGTCTTGGAATTGGCAAGTGCTTTCACCAGTTCATATTTGGCATCCTTGGAAGCTTTATCATGCTCCACAGACCGGTCCACCAGATATTCTACAAAACCCGGACTGTTAAACATAAGTTTCTGAGCCCAGGGTTGGTTTGCAATGGCCTGAAATAGAAGACAGAAAAAAATACCTTTCTCTTAGCCTTGAAAAATTAAGTTTGTTAATGGGATGGAGTAGTATTTAGGAAGAAGTGTGGTAGAATGAACCTTTAAAATGTTACCTTTCAGATTTGGAGATTAAAATGAAGCAAATTATGTTACACATACTTATGAATACTGCAAAACAAACACCACTATTATACTATATGACTACAATGCACTAATAAGAAAATTTCAAAAATTACCTTTTCCTCCAAAGTAAATTACCTCCTGATAAACAAATGTAAGAAACCAATTCTAAATACCTGAAAGCTTAGCATACAAAGATGTTCATCACAGTGTGAAAGTTACAATATAAATGTGTAATAATGGAGGCATGATTAAGTAATTTATGTAGAAATAAAAGAAAAGATGCTTTGGAATGATGCTTCATTTGGAGAATGATACATTGTGGATTTGTAATGAAACACTGACTTCTAATTTCCTCTTTTAAAATGTAAATACACACACAGAGGCACTTTTTTTTTTTTTTTTTTTTTTTTTTTTGTACTGGGGATTGAACCCAGGGATGCCGTATCATTGAGTTGTATCCTCAACCCCTTTTATTTTTTACTTTAGTTGCCTAGGCTGACCCTGAACTTGTGATTCCACTGCCTTAGCCTCCCAAGTAGCTGGGATTACAGGCATGCACCACTGTGCCCAGATCACTGATATAACATATTAAAGAGAAAAAGCAAACTGTAGAATGATATGACTAGTGTGATACCATTTACAAAATTTAAGAAAATATAAAACACTATAATGTATTTTGTTTATATAGGCAACATGTAGTAGAAATATGAAATGACATACGGGCCTAGAAATCCTGAATTTGTGATCGTGATTACATCCAGGGAAGAAGGGGAATGAGATTGGGCAGAGGTAGTAAGGTATGACTGTTCGAAATACTTCAACCAAAATACATACATACATACATACTAAACCAGATTGAAATACAACAATGAAACAACTTCTTTTGATTTGAAAAATCTGTACTTCTCAGTTTTTTCCAAATTTTAAATAAGCAACTTTTATGTTTATTAAAACTTCACCATTACATTTTAGTGAATAACAAGTATTAAGCTTATAATTTCTTTCTTTCAAACTTATTCTACAGACCAGCAGCATTAGCACAACCTGGAGCTTACTAGAAATTCAGGCTCTTAAGCTCCATCTCAGAACTACCATGCATCTACATTTCAACAAGATCCCTAAAGTTAATATTTAAGAAATACTGACCTAGATAACAATAATTAAGGATGAAAAGTGGACTTAAATAGCTATCCCAAAGAGAAAATTTAAAAAATTATCTCTACAGTCATGGCAAACTAAGTAGAGGAGGATAAGGTAGAATAGCAAAATCAAAATAAACTGATAATGAGATACCAATGGAGAAGCCAAATGCCCTTCTCATACAGTGATTATAAGGGTGAAGTGGTCTCTAAAAGCAGATGTTCTTGAAGATGATAGGAATATCTGTGTCTTTCAAGACTCAGATCACAAAACACATTCTCAGAAAGCCTTCCCTCTCCAATCCCATCCTAGTTTAGGCCTAGTATGCTGTGTGAATCCCATTATGATAGGATTACCAAAGACATAACTACATTTCTATGAGCCAAGGCACCATGGCAAGTGCTGGGATTACAAAGACAAATCAGATATGGTCCTTCTCTTCACAAACTGCTTAATGGGGGAAGAGACCAAGTATGCAGAGACAGGTAATAAGTACCTTTACAATTACAAGAAACTTTCTTTTTTTACTGCCTGGCTCCCTCAACAGACAAAAAGCTTCAAGAAACTTTTTTTTTTTTAGATGTTGATGGATCTTTATTTTGTTTATTTATATGTGGTGCTGAGAATCGAACCCAGGGCCTCACACATGATAGAGCACTGAGCCACAACTTCAGTCCCAAGAAACTTTTAATCTATTTTATTCAGGGTTGTACCCCTCACACTTAGTAAAAGAAAAAGAGAAATATTTTCTGAATGAATGAATAAATGCAATGTATGAAAGCCAACATTAACGTTTTGTTTAAAATTTGCTTAAATTTTTAAAAATGTATTTTAAAATTTAACACTGAGTTAATCATCAGTTTGGGCAAACTGTGCTAAAAAGATAACCTGAACTAGGTCTTAAAGAATAAATAAGAGGATAACAAGCAAAGTTAGGGAAGAGTGTCGGATACAGAAAGCACAGCAAAATACAGAGATTTGAAATAAGAAGGACGGCATCCCTAGAGCATTAAGTGCCAAAAGAAGAATGTCAGAAAATAAGGCTCAGGAAGAAGCTGAGGGCTGGGTCAATTGAGTATGGTAGATAAGGAATCTGGAATTAATTCTGTGATCTCATAGCACCCTGTTCAAACTTCAAACAGAACCTAGCACATTTTTGTTTTGGGGGTGAAGGGGATTGAACCCCCCAGGGCCTCATACATGCCAGACAAGCACTCCACCATGGAGCCACATCTCTAGAAGCTAATACCTTTTACTGTTAATATCTTCCTCTTTGGTCTCTGAAGCAGCAGAGAGCAGAACCTGTGCTCTATACTGTGCATCCACAGGGCAAGGCACAGGAAATGAATTCCAGGTAATCGTGGGTCAAATGAGCAGTCCCAGAAGGACAGATGGAGAAGAAAATACCTACCGTGAACACTTTTAAGGCAGCACAGTGTAGTTCAGGGAAGGGTTGATTACTGATACCACGAAAGAGGTCCAGTGAGTCACGGGATAAAGAGGAAAACCAAGATTCTGTCATCCTCAGGAGATCATCAGTCTGCTGCTCAGGCTACAGGACAGAAAAGGAAAATTTCTCAAGATTACTGTATCTGGAGAAAACCATGCATTTCAAAGCCAGAAAACCTGGGTTTAGATATTCATTAATTTGCTGTGTGTTCTTAGCTTAGTCTGAAGCATTCATCTTCAAATCCAGCCCAGATTCTTCCGTTTGTTTGTTTGTTTATTTATTTATTTTTAAGTTGTAGTTGGACACAATACCTTTATTTCACTTATTTATTTTTATACTGAGGGTCGAACCCAGGGTCTTGCACATGTAAGGCGAGGGCTCTCCTGCTGGGCCACAACCCCAGCCCCATCTTCCCAGTTTTTGATGGATAGGATTCACCAATATCTATGGCCTATTTACTTCTGATATTGTATGATTCCACTTTAACTAAAAATGTTACTAGTCATATTATGAAGGTTCTCTTCTTTTACTAGAAGTGAGACAGATGACATTTACTTGGTCAGTGTTTACATTAACTAATGTTATGTTGACTTATACAGATAGATTTACTCTCCCAAACATATGACACTGTCCTTCATTAATTTCCCAGTCCACTTACTGGTAAATATAGAAGAGATGAAACTGCTTCCAAACATCTGATTTTTAGCTCTGTGGAGGCATTTTTTGCTTGATGTCCAATCCTCATGAGCAGGCGTTCAAAGCGAGTTCCTTTGAAGGTAACAATGAGATTTCGAATTTTTTTTTAATATGGTAAAGTATACAAAACTTAAAATTTACCATTTTAACTATACATTTCATTGTCATTACAAGTACATTCATATTGTTGCAGAACTTTTCAACAACTCAGCTATAATTCTGTGCATATTAGCAATAATTCCCATTCCTCCCTACCCTCATCCCCTGATAACCACTATTCTTCTTTGTTTCTAAGAATTTGACTATTCTATGTACCTCATCTAAGCAGAATCTTACAGTATCTGCTTTCCATGCCTGGCCTATTTCATTAGCATAATGTCTTCCCACTTCCTTTGTGCTGTGACACATGTCACATACTTTTAATAAAGCTGAGTAAGATTCCACTGTAGACATATTGTTTGCCCATTTATCCATCAATGAACATTGGGTTGCTTCTACTAGTTTGGGCTATAACAATACTGCCATGAACATAGGTATACAAATCTGTTTAGGTCCTTGTTTTCAATACTTCTTAGAATATACTTAGAAGTAAAATTCTGGACCATATAGTACTAGGTTCATTTTTTTGTGGAACTTGCATATTATTTTCCACAGGGGTTGCAACATTTCACACTCCCATCAGTAAACAGGATTATGCCTTCGCCATATCCTAACATCTGTTACTTTATAATTTTGTAATTAAAAAAAAATTGATAGCATCCTAATGGATATGAAGTATACTTTCATACATTATGACCCCTACCAACCTAAATCACATAAAAATAGGCATCTAGTCAGAAACCAAATGACAAATCTAAAGCACACAATTATATGCAATGTAGCACATATAAGGCAAAGTGTATAGGATTGGAATCAAAGGACCTGGATTTGAGTAGCAGCTGCCCCAGTCTGTATGATCTTAGAAAATTTTCTTAACTTCTCTGAGTTTCAGCTACCTTATCTGTAAAATGAGAATGACAATGGTATGTTCTTTGCAGGACTGTAAAAGGATTATATGTCATAGGTACAAGCACTTAGACAAGTACATGCAGCAGGGATATTAGCTGCAATACATACGGCATATTAATGTTCAATATATACTTCAAAAGAGTTTTCATAACAGTGCTGCATTTTTTATTTTTTGTGAAGAATTTGTTGTGCTGTTAAGATAATCACGGATGTGTCATAAAAGTATTTTCCTTACCATAAAAGCTTATAAGTATTTGTTTCCTTTCTGACATTACAAATAAAATTCATTAAATATTCACAACAATCCTGATAAGTCAATTGTTATGCCTTTTTTATAAATAAGACCCAGAGAAGTGAGGTAACTGAAATTCAAAAAGCTAATGTTAATGGATGGGGTTGTGGCTTCGTAGTAGAGTACCTGACTAATACGTGTGAGGCACTGGGTTCAATCCTCAGTGCCATATTAAAAAAAATAAATACATAAATAAAATAAAATTATTAAAAAAAAAAAAGCTGTTAGTGTGGTCTTTGTATCATGAATACTATTCAAAGAAGACATACAGGAAAGAGTATTTGGTCCTAATTGGTTGGTAGAACACTGAACATTGAGAAGTAAGAAATAAAAGAGTTTTAGACTTTAAATTATGAGACTGAGAGATGAGTCCATAGTCATGGTGAAGACTACTACCAACAAAAGTAGTTTCTACAATGCAACTAACCCACCAGCAAAAGAACTTGAGTTATTGCACCATTATGAAAAATAAAACACAACTAAAGAAAGTCAAGACAAGTTATACCAACCTGTTTTCTGTAAAACCTGTTTGCCTTCAACATTGGATCCCAAGATTCCAATTGTGTCTACAGCTACGCCAATCATGGTGGGGTCCTGACTTTCTATCATTTCAAACACCTTTTCCACAAAGACAGGATAACGCTCACAGATCTGTTGAGGACTATCCATGACAGCCAGGTTTCCAAAAAATTTCACAAATCCTAAAGATATTTAGAAAAATACATCTTAATAAAAGAGTTAAACAGTACAAATTGTAGGCTCTATGTTTTCAAAGGAACAGTAATAAACTACAGGCCAGAAAGAGAAAGACTACAGAGTTGCCTGGAAACCTGAGACCATTCAGATATCCAAATGACTGGTGATATGTGGTCCTGAGAGAATAGAAACCTCAGGGTACCAATGGTACAGAGGAAGAAGAACAAGGACAAATGGATACAATTTGGAGTAAGGCAAGGTTAGAGTCATTATTGGGAAGATACTTTTAAACATACATGCTCAATAAAATAAGGTAGGTTACATAAGGAAGCAGTAAATCCCCAACTTCTGGGGAGTGCTAAGGATTAATTAATCAAGCCCTAAAACAGAATGGCTAGAGCAGATCCTGTATCATACAGATTCCAACTCACAGATGTGATCAATCTGTGATATATACTGTAAATGTTAGTATTATCATTTTTATTTACATTTCTTTTAATTGAGCTTCTAAATAAAATAACCTTCATGCTTTAAAAAGCACTAATATTTCAAGAAAAGCAGTCAACAGTGCATGCATGGCTCTCAGAGCAATGGATTCTACCTACTAAGGGACTGTGGGTATCATTTTTAAAATTAACTTTTTGAATTAACAAATTGCATTATGTATTAAGTGAACATATTTTGAATGTATGTGTAATTATACATTACAGAATGACTAAATTGAACAAATTAACATCTTATCTCATACCCTTTTTATGGTGAAAAATTTAAAATATATTCTTAATGATTTTAAAGAACATGATACATTGTTATCAACTAGTCTATATTTCTCCTAACTGAGATTGGTATTTTTTTTTAAACATCAAATTGTACACTTTATTTATTTTTATGTGGTACTGAAAGTTGAACCCAGTGCCTTGCATGTGCCAGGCAAGCACTCTACTACTCAGCCACAACCCCAGTTCTGAAATCTGTATCTTTTGAAATTTGTTATCCAACCCTGCCTCACCAACCCCTGTAATCACAATTCTATTCTCTACTTCTGTAAATTTGACTCCTTTAGTTCGTGTACTGTTGAGATCATGTGGCATTATCTTTTTATGCCTTGCTTTTTCCACTTAACATAATGTTCTCTATCCATGTTGCTGAAACTAACAGGATTCTTTCTTTTTAAGGTTAAAGAGTAGTCTATTGTGGATGTGATCCACATTTTCTTTCCTTTATTTTGTTCTGTGATGTGGGGATCAAAACCAGGGTCTCCTGCATGCTAAGCAAGTGCTCTTATCACAGAGCTATATTTATAACCTCATATTTTCTTTATCTGTTATCTACTGGCAGTCACTTAGGTTGATCCCATATCTTGCCTATTGTGAATGCTGCAAAGAACAAGGGAATGTAGGTATCACTTCCACATATTGACTTTACATCCTTTGGATATATACCCAGTAGGACTGCCAGTTCATCTTCTAGTTCTCATTTTAGTGTTCTGAGGACACATACTGTTTTCCATTATGGTCATATACTAATTGGCATTCCCACCAACAGTGTGCAAGGGTTTCCTCTGCTCCCTGTCTTTGTCAACACTTGCTACCTTTCATCTTTTTTAATATAAGCCACTCTTAAATAGGTGTGAGATGATTTCTCACTGTGGTTCTATTTTGCATTTCCCTGATGATAAGTAATGTTGAACATTTTTTCATATACCTGACAGGCATTTAAAAAAAATTATTATATTTATATATATATATACATATTTTTATAGTTGTTTATGGACCATTTCCTTGCTACTAAATCACTTGCATTCCTTATATATTTTGGATACTCACCCCTTACCAGATACATGGCTTACAAACATCTCTCCCATTCCATAGGCTGCCTTTTCATTCTGTTGTTTCCTTGGCTATGCAAAAATCTTTTGGTTTGATACAATCCCATTTGTCTCTTTTAGCTTTTGTTGCTTGTACTTTTAAGGGGTCATGTTCAAAAAATCTTGGTCTAGAACAGTGTCATAGAGTTTTCTCCTATTTTTGTTTTGGGAGTTCCAGTTTCAAGTCTTAAATATACAAATCTAATTTCATTCTCTGCTTATATACATCTGGTGCCTTGACACCATTTATTGAGAAGGCTGTCCTTTCCTCATTGAATGTTCTTGGCATGTTTGTTGAAACTCAAATGGCCACAAATGCATGGTTTATTTCTGGATTCTATCTCACTTGTCTATGTGCCTGTTTCATGGCAGTACCATATTGTTTAGATTCTTATAGCTTTGTAGTATATTTTGAAGTCAGGGAAGCATTGCTTTAAACTACTTTGGCTACATTGTGTTTCTATATGAATTTTAGGATTTTATCCCCCTACATCTGTGAAAAACACCATTGGAATCTGGATAGAAATTATATTCAATCTGTAAATCGCTCTGGGTAACAGTATAGAAATTGAAACAATATCATTCTTTCTGATCCATATATCTGGGATATCACTCCATTTATGTCTTTAATTTTCTTCACTAGTTATTTTACAGTTTTCAGAGTGCAGATCTTTCATCTTCTTAATGAAATTCATTCCTAATTTTATTTTTATGAACACTATCATAATGGAATTATTCTATTTTCTAGTACTGGAGATTGAATCTAGAGCTTGAAGCATGCTAGGAAGTTTTCTGCAAATAAGCTACATCTCTATCCCATGAGGATATTTTCTTTTTCATATAGTTGCTAGAGTACGGAAATGCTACTGATTTTGTATGTTACTATTGTATTCTGCAACTTTGCTAAATTCATTCAGGCTTTTTTGGCAGAGTCTGTATTCTATATATAAGAACATGTGGGGCTGGGGATAGGGCTCAAATAGTAGCACACTCACCTAGCATGCGTGAGGCACTGGGTTTGATCCTTAGCACCACATAAAAATAAAATAAAGATATTGTGTCCATCTAAAGCTAGAAAATAAATATTAAAAAAAAAAAAAAAAGAAGAATGTGTGTTCTACATATAGCAGCAAATCAATGTCTTCTTTTCAGATTTGGATACCTTTTATTTTTTTCTTTTACATAATTGCTCTAGTTAGGATTTCAGGTACTATATTAAGCAGAAGTAGTACCAACCCTTGTCTTGTTCCTGATCAAAGAGAAAAATTTTTAACTTTTCACTGCTGTGTAGGTTACTCCTTCTACACCTTTTAATAAGAGATTTATGAAAGAATGTTGAATGTGTCAAAATGTCTTTTCTGTTTCTACAAGCATAATCATATGAGTTTGCATCCTTCATGTGTTAATTTGTTGTACAACATTTATTGATTTGCATATTGAATCATCCTTGCATCTCTGGGATAAATCCTACTTGTGAATAATGATGCTGCTAAATTTGGTGGCCATGAGTATCCTCTAAAAGAAACTGGCTCAAAGCAAAATAATTCCTGGCCTCTTCTAGCCAATATAACTCAGAAGCAAAACATGTACTGTCACTTCCACAGGCACCACTATTTCTTACCTGGCAAATAGAAGCTAGAGAAAGGGTCAGAATCTGCCCCAACAATTATGTTAGAAATCTGGTCAATTACTCCTTCTTGAGCAAGGTATTGTCGTCCATGATGGGTATATGCTAGAGATGTCACCATCTCTATACAAGTGGCTCTATAAAGAAAGAACAAAAACAAGGAGTTTGTGCACATGAATAGGCTGCTTTTAAAACTGTTTTCATACAGGTTATCTTAATCTTTTCACCAAATCTGAAAGGTTAATACCCTTGACTCTTCTTAGATAAGGACACAACACTTACAAGGTGAAAATGACATATTTGGAATATCACTTGTTGTTACAAGATAGAATTTATACTTAAATCTTGACTTTTTGACTTGAGGCCCACTATTGTTTCCACTAAAACATAGTTGTTTCCTAAGAGATTTTTAGCTTTTATTTTGAAATGTCAAATACACACAAAAGTAAAGTGATTAGTACATTAAACTACCATGCATTCATAACCCTGATTTAATAACTATCAAGATTTTGCTTTACTTACTTCATCTTTCTTTCCCATTTTTTGCTGAACTATTTTAAAGATAATCCTAGTTATCGTGCCATTTACCCCTACACACTTCAGTATGCATCTGTAAAAACATGAATATTTCCTTACATAATTATACTGTAATTACCATATATTAACAACTTAACAATTCTATGGTATCATCTAATTTTCAACGATGAAAAAATTACTCCTAATAACTAAAACAGTATTTTTAATAGTTGATGCTGAAGTATGTTAACTGACTATCATTTGCAGGTTTTTTTCCCTATGTTCTTGTTAGGATAATACACAAGTGCTTTTAAATTTAACTAATGACTGATTTATACATATAGGTTTAATAATTCAGTTACACTTAAAGCACATAGGACATCAGAATATGGATTTTAGGACTGAGGGTGTAGTTCAGTGGTCGAGAGCTTGACTAGTATGTGAGAAGTCCTGGTTTCAAACACTAGCACCACAAGCAATCAAAAAAAGTCATTTGGTTAGAAGAGAATAAAAACTTACACACATAAAGATGACAACTGTACTAATATGGTAACAGCAAAATACTTGCTCAACAGTGAGGACAATAGCAAACTGGAATATCAATAAGGAGACGTTTGGCAGATAATAAAGGGAACTTAAGAGAGTAAGAATAGGGATCTAGAAAAGATTGGAATTAACATTCATTTGTTTCTATGGTCAGTTCATTTACTCCTCACTACTTCTTTAGAGTTGTTATTGTTCCATCAGAAAGATGAAGAAACTGAGGTGTAGAAAGGCTACAATCATTTGTCCAAGGTCAAACAGCTGATAAGTAGAAGAGAGGTATGCAAGGTCAAGTCCATCTCCTTTTCAAAAGCCCATATTTTATAAGTCAGTGCTGTTATTTTAACAAGGCCAATGAATGTATCTGATAAAATGTTAAGTAATCCGAAATGGCAGTTACCACGTGACTACAACTATTTAAGAGCATACCTGCCCAGGAACAGGGGACATAATCACTTGAAAAAACTGAATTGTCTTGCAGGGCTTTGCTAAGTTCCAATATGTTAATGTTATTATAATGTAACTTGAGTGATTTCACATAATTTTTTTTTTTTTTTGGTACTAGGGATTGAACCCAGAGGTTTTTAACCACTGAGCCACATCCCCAGCCCTCCCCTCCTTTTAAAAAAATATCTTTGTTTTTTTAATATGGTGCAGAGGATCGAACCCAGTGCCTCACGCATGTGAGGCAAATGGTCAACCACTGAGCCACTTGCCAGCCCCCTCCTCTCCTTTTTCTGGTACTGGAAATGAACCCAGGGGCACTCAACCACTGAGCCATATCCCCAGCCCTTTTTTGTATTTTATTTAGAGACAGGGTCTCACTGAATTGCATAGCGCTTCTCCCTGAGTTGCTGAGACTGGTCTTGAACTCGTGATGCTCCTGCCTCAGCCTCCCGAGACACTGGGATTATAGGCATGCACCACCACGTATAGCTTACAGAAGTCTTGAGGTTGCAGACTAGACACAAGCTCTAATAGAACAGATCATGACAGGTCCCAAGGCTGGTTCTTGGCCCTCTAAAAGAGGACTTTTCTGTTTAAGATCTGTCAGTGAACACACCTGACTAGCACATCCTCACCAGTCAGCTCTCTCAGAAGCTGGGTTACCAATCCACTTGTGGTACAATAGTTTAAAGATTCTGATGACACAGAAGAAATCTCCACAATTAGCTGGAAAAAAAAAAAAGAGAAAATGGAAAAACGTCAAAACAGCCACAAGCCTATTAGGTCTCATTTTAAATTAAATGCAGAACTGGGTACTTTATATGATTTGAGTTTTTAAAACTCCATTCATTTGTCTCTAGGAAAACTTCACTGAACACATAAGAAATCACTATGGCACCAAAATATTCCATTATATCTGTGTGTATCCGCACCCCCTTATCATCAATCTTGGCATAAAAGCCTAAATTAGCAAAAATAAGCAGATTATTTAAAATATTCATTCATGAGCTAGGAATGTAGCTTAATGGTAGAGCACTTGCATGGCAGTATGAAGAACTGAGTTTGATCCCCAGCACCTCAAAGGAAAAAATAGTTCATCAATTCAGTTACTTCTTCATTTAGTGTGCCCTGAGAGCTTACTGAGAGAAAAAGGACACTGAAGACTTTGAGAAGTGACAGAAACAGATATAAATTTTTAAAAGATCTTTTTTTCTGGTGCTGGTGGGGTGTACCAGAGAATGAACCCAGGGGCACTCAGCCACTGACCTGCATTCCCAGCCCTATTTTGTATTTTATATAGAGAAAGGATTTCACTAAGCTGCTTAGCTCCTTGCTGTTGCTGAGGCTGGCTCTGAACTCGAAATCCTCATGTCTCAGCTTCCTGAGCTGCTGGGATTACAGGCATGCACCACGGCACGGACTAAAAGATTATTCTTATATACACTTCAAAACATCTTGCTATACATGATAAGTACATACAACTACATGTCAATTAAAAAATAGCATTCTGGCTGCATGTAAGATAGATGAGGGATGAATGACAATAACAGATGAGGTAAGCTGCAGTGGTAAATTATCATAGGGTAGGGTGTGGGGATATACCAATGAAGAGAAATACACAAGTTTAGGTAAAACCAACACATAAGACCTTATAAGAATGAACTCAAGGTCTAATACACAACTCTGTAAACTTTGGGGCAGGGCCAGTTTGTTACTGCTGTATTTTACTATGGCCATGGGGTAGATCAGGATTCAATTGGAGCATGAGTATGAGGGGCCTGGAATATGTCCACTGGGGCAATAGTTAGTGAGTAGTTGGATGTGAAGATCTTACTTCAAAAGAAAGGCCTGGGATGGAAATTTACATTTGAGTCATCATCACATAGGTGGGAACTGAAATCACAAGATAAATCAAACTAAGCTGTAGTCCCAGCATTTAGGAAGCTGAGGTGGGATGATCCCTAGAAACCAGGAGTTTGAGGCTAACCTGGGCAACGAAGCGAGGCTGTTATCAAAAACAAAACAAAACAAAACAAAAAAACCACCAACAACAACCTAGAAATGAGTACAGGGTACAATAAAATCTGGGGTTGAGACTTTGCCTTCATGAATGAAAACAATTAAAGGTTCTTGGAGAATAAAGAACTGGGAGATTAAGAAGAAATAGAGATGCAAAAGGAAAACCAGAGTAGTGTGGTATCAGGGCATGTAAAGTAAGAAAGTTTTTTTTTTTTTTTTTTTTTTAAAGAGAGAGAGAGAGAGAGAGAGAGAGAAACTTTAGTATTTATTTATTTTTTTAGTTCTCGGCGGACACAACATCTTTGTTTGTATGTGGTGCTGAGGATCGAACCCAGGCCGCACGCATGCCAGGCGAGCGCGCTACCGCTTGAGCCATATCCCCAGCCCCAGTAAGAAAGTTTTGTAAAGAAGGAATTAAGACTGTACAGGGTTCCATTTTGAGTATGCAGCCTATTAAGTGTGTCTTTAGGTCAATTACTCCTTTGTTGGGCCTGGTGGTGCAGGCTTGTAATCCCAGTGATTTGAGTGGCTAACACAAGAGGACTGCGAGTTCAAAACCAGCCTCAGCAATTTAGCAAGGCACTAAGCAACTCAGTGAGACCCTGTCTCTAAATATAATACAAAAAAGGGCTGGAGCTATGGCTCAGTGGTTAAGTGCCCCTGGATTCAATCCCCGGTACCGCCCTCCCAAAAGTACTCCTTTACTAGTGAGATAATATTTCAGACCAGTTTCAATGCTATCTCCTCTAATAGAGTAATTATACTACACCATTTTTTGTATGACTCTCCCACACACCAGCTGGGAATTAATCTCTATATTCCTAGCACCTTGGAATAGGGCCTAACACAGATTATATATCCAATAAACACACATTAAATGAACCATCTTGCCTTCCATTTCAAGTTTACTATATTTTGCTTTGTAAATGTCCCATAGTTTTTAGTCTTACCTCATACACCCTGTATCGAACAATATCATTTGTTTTCATTACATTTTTCAAATCATCCAGCAGATTGCTTTCAAATAAAGCCTCAAGTCCAGCTTGAGTTAGTGATATTCTTGACAGGGATTTGATAGCCTTACAAGGAAAGAAAATATCTCTTAAGTCACAAAAATACAAAATATTTACATCTACTTCTTGAGACTGATGTGAAAATCAGTGCACAAAATGTACTTGCCCAATGAGCAGTCATTACATTTTAGCTATTGTTATTTGTAAATAACTGGAAAAGATCAAGTAACCCAATGTAAACCCAATAATGTAAATATATGTATCACAGAAAAGAAGTTCACTACTATGTATTTGATAACCATTTATTTATCTGATACCAGCTACATGAGGCTATAAATTCAGTTCCATCAATCATCAATTTTAACCCTTCACCTCTCAATTCATAAGGCCTTTTTCGACTTTAAGTCACTAATGTCTCTACATGTTAATTGATGTGTTCTAGTAAACTCACCGCTTTAGCTACAGATAGATTCTCTCCACCAATGCAATACACAATTTGTTTTAGTAGATCAGCATTATTTAGAATCTCAGTAACAGCATCAGAATTTTCAACAATTCTTCCAATCTGAGAGAAAAAAAAAAAAAAATACTCTTTCAAGGTATAGTAATGTGAATAAATGACAGTCTAATTTCCTTAGTGTGCAATTATTTTAGAAGTTACAGCTATAGGACAGGTCCCTAAAAATTCATAATGACCCAAATTCATTAAAATGGTGTAGTAACATATTTAGCACCTTTTTTTAAAAAAATAGTTTTTAGTTGTCAATAGACCTTTATTTTATTTATTTATATGTGGTGCTGAGAATCAAACCCAGTGCCTCATACATGCTAGGCAAGTGCTCTACCACTGGAGCCACCACCCCAGCCCCCACCATCTTTAGCACCTTTAAATGAAAAGGAAAAAAAACGAACAAGACACCATGGGTACAGAATATTGATAAGTTAGTGAATGTAAACAACTCATATCAATTTTTAGTTGCACTGACTTTGGACGAATTAAATAACTTTTGAGCCTAATATCTTACTTGTAAAGTGGAAATAATGACACTTAATTCCAGGGTAGTTTTGAAGATTAAATGAGACTAAATAGGCAAAGTACCTACTGTGGTGTCTGGCACATACATGGTCAATGAATAAATTGATACCATCTCCCTTTTTTATTGAATAACACCTTAGAGAAGAAAAGGAAGAGCAGTAGAGTATTAACTAGACAACTGCTTAGTTCCTAACATTTCAACAACATAATCTTTAGCAGAAGCTCTTTATTCACATAGTAGGATTTTCTGGTTACCAAGATGGTAAGAGTTACTGTCTTAATTTTTTGGCTTACTGACCTTTAGGATAGCACTTATTTCATGTCACTACAATGTTAGGCAGAGTAGCTATTTAAACACCCAAGAATCTTTTTCTCTAGACTAGAAGCCTCTTATAAAAAACCAAAACAAACAAACAAAAACCCACGATAGATTTATGTTGATAACTCCAACAGCACATGGCACAATGCCTGGCATGTCAAAGGAATTCAGTCATTATTTGGTGAGTGAATGATTAAGATAGTACTAAGTGAATTTTTTTTACTTCAGTTTCTATTTCTCAGGTTATAATTCATTAGGCACAACAGAATAGACTAGACATACCCTAGGAATACAGAGAGATTAAAACCCAGCATACAACCTGCCCCAGAGAAGTTGGTTCTTCTTATATAGTAAAGTTTCATACCTGGGACAGAGTGAGAATTTTAACAGAATCATCAGGGTGATTAAGTCCCCTTTGTAGGTCAACCTTGAGGTTCCTAGCCACGTGAACTGGTTCCACAGCTTGAAGCAATCTCTCCAGAATGGATACACACAAAGTAGTCTGTTCCCTAAAGGAGACACCATAGATCTCATTAGTTCATGTCCTGCCAGATTGGAAGCAACAGGCTAATAATAGTGAAGCTTGGCTCACTAATTTGTGCCATAAATATGTTTTTTTTTTTTTAAAAAACAGCAACTTCTATTTGCTCATTGAACATTTAGTAAGTACCTGTTATCTGCTTTGCATGTTTTGGGGCTACAACAAGGATTACGATATATTATTTAGTCTAAAGAAGTTCAGTCTAATGGAATATACAGAAAAATAAAAGGCAACTACAATCCAGGTAGATAAATGACATAACCTAGGACTAGAAACTATGGGAGCTTTAAGAACACAAAGTATAGGGAAGGCTTCCCAGTTGGGTGACACCTGAACTAAGTTAAAAAAAAAAAAAAAAGTAGGAATGATCTAGAAGAAAGGTACTCTAAGAAGAAGGAGTAGATGGAACTGCGGTTTTGGCTCAGCGGTAGAGCGCTTGCCTAGCACATGTGAGATTCTGGGTTTGATCCTCAGCACCACATAAAATAAATAAATAAATCAAGGTATTGTGTCCATCTACGACTAAAACTATTAAAAAAAAAAAAGAAGAAGAGGGAGTAGAAGCACACGAGAAACAGAGGAAGAAAACACCTTGTTATACTTTCAAGGAACCACATGGGGCTTGGTATGACTAGGGTCAAAATAGGGAACAGATCTGGAGAAGGCAAAAGAGTGACATGAATAGCAAGAAATGAAACTGGAGAGATGCACAGAAGCCAGATTCTCAGAGATCCAGACTTTTTCCAGAAAAGCAATGGTAAGTCATGAGATGGCTTTGACAGAGAAGTAACAATGAGATCTAACTTACAGAAATCACCCTGGGCCTGGGTGGCTCAGTTGTACAGCATGTACTTTAGCATGTACAAGGTCCTGGGTTCAATCACCAGCAGAAGAGATTAGAAATGAAAAACAAACAAACAAAAAAACCCAAAATCCTTCATCCGCATTAAAGAAAGAATTTTCAACATGAAGGCAGTTCATGTGGGAGGTGATAAAGAAGTGGATCAGGGAAATAGCAGTGGAGATAGAAGAGGGGGGGAAAGATACAAAAGGAAAAGATCCTGTTTCAAGATCAATCTTCTGTCTTTTAATAAACAATACAAATAATGGGCTAACATATTGCTAATAGGAGACTACAATTAAACTAGTATAACTTTTCTAGATGACAATTAAGGAATTACAAATCAAAAGTCTTAAAAATACATACACTTCCTTTAACTTAGGGATTCTACCTTGCATAACTGGGTCTAAAGGAGTACTTAAGAATGTTTTCATAGCTAAGAAAATTAAAAATATGCTTAGACAAAAACCTACATATTAATTCTCAAAGCAGTAGAAACAACCCAAACGTTGATGAATGGACAAATACAATGTGGTATAGCCATACAATATTCCATTTACCAATAAAATGGGAGGAAGTACTCATAATGCTATAATATGAACAAACCTTCAAGTATTATATGCTAAAACAGACACAAAAGGCTTTTTTTTTTTTTGGCGTGAGCCACATCTCCAGCCCTTTTTGTATTTTATTCTAAATAAAATACCCTATCTCTAAGATAGGGTATCACTGAGTTGCTTAGTGCCTTGTTTTGCTGAGCCTGGCTTTGAACTTGAGATCCTCCTCCCTCAGCCTCTGAGCCATTGGGAGTGCATGTGCCACTACACCTGGTAAAAGGCTTCTTTTGATGATGATTCTATTTACATGAAATGTTCAGAATAGACAAAACAATAGAAACAGAAAATAGGTTCCTGGTTGCCTGAAGGACAAGAATACAGGAGAAATGGGGAGTGACTACTTCTAGATTTGGGCTTCTTCTCCTTTAAAAAAATTGCTGACAAATTGGGAGGCTGAGATAGGAGGATCACTTAAGCCCAGAAAGAGTTCAAGGTCAGCCTAGGCAATATAGCAAGAATCCATCTCATTAAAAAAAAAGTTGCAATTACATATAAGATAAAATTCAACAATTCACCATTTTAACAATTTCTAACATACAGTTCTGTGGCAGTAAGTATAATTACACATTGTTTTTGCAACTATCACCATCATCCATCTCCAGATTATTTTTTTTATCTTCCCAACCTGAAACACTGTACCCACTGAATATTTTCCATCCTTTCTTCTCCCAGTCCTTTGAAACTACAGTCTTACTTTCTGTGTCTCTAAATTTATGTATTCTAGAGATTTCACATAAATGGAATCACACAAGATTGGTCCTTTTGTGTCTGCTTATTTCACTTAGTAGAAAGCCTTCAAAGTTCTTCTGTCAGAAATTCCTTCCTTTTGAAGGCTGCACATAAATACCCCTTTGTATTTATCTGCCACATTTTGTTTGGCCTTTCATCCTTTTTTTTACTTTAGCAATCTAGCAGATGTACAGTAAAATCTCACTGTGGTTTCAACTTGTATTTCCCTAATGACTAATAATGACATGACTCTTCATTTGCATATTTGCCATCCATACTTCTTCCTAATTTTGCCCAATTTTTGAGTATTTCATCTATTGCTATTGAATTTTTAATGCTTTATATATATCCTGAGTGTCATTCACCAGATATAGTCTTTGCAAAGACCTTTTATTTTCTCCATTGACTTGTCTTTTCATTCTCTTTAACTGTGACCTTTGAAGAGCAAAATGTTTAATTCTGATGAATTCCAATTTATTCTTTTCTCTACCTGCAGTAGTAGGGATTAAAAGGGCCTCAAGCATGTTGGTGAGTGCACTACCTTTTTAAATTTTTGAGACATGGTCTAAATTGCCCAGATTGGCCTTGAATTTGCAATCCTCCCGCTTCAGCTTCTTGAGTATCTGGGATTACAGGTGTGTGCCACTGTGCCTGGCTCGATTTGTTCTTCTGGTATCTTCTTGAAGAAATCCATTAAACTCAAGGTCACAAAAAGTTTTTTCATATTCTTTCTTGTAGAACTTTTACAGTTTCAGGTTTTATTTTTAGGCCTATCATCTACTCTCCTACACTGCGGATGGGAATATAAAACGGTATAACCACTTTGGAAAACAGTTTGGCAGTTTCTTAAAAAGTTAAATATATATCTTCTACACACTATCCAACCATTCCATTCCTGGCAAAGATTTGTACATGAATGTTCACAGCAGTGTTATTTATAATATCCCCAAACCAAAAACAACTCAATGTTCATCAACAAGGGATGGAAATCTCAATTTGGGTATACTCATATTATGGACTACTACTTCCCAGTAAAAAGGAATAAATTACTAATTCATGCCACATGTATAAATCTCAAAATAATTACACTGTGCAAAAAGATATCAAACAAGACTACATACTAGGGCCGGGGCTGTGGCTCAGTGGTGGAACGCTCGCCTAGCATGTGTGAGGCACTGGGTTCAATCCTCGGCACCACATAAAAATAAAATATATTGTGTTCACCTAAAAAACTAAAAAATAAAAATTTAAAAAAAAAAAAAAAAAAAAAAAAAAAAAGACTACATACTACACGACTCCTGTAAATAAAACACCTTTCCTTCCACATTACCAAAATTCCAGCAAACTCATCCATAATGATGGAAAGTAGATCAGTGGTTGCCTGCCTGAGGTGGGGAGAGATTACCAAGGGGAGTAAAGAAACTTCTGGGAGTGAAAGATATCTTCACTATCTTGATTGTGGTGATGGTTTTAAGTTTTATATCAAAACTTGTCAAATTGTACATTTTATTATATGCAGGCTCATTGTATGTAAATTATTCCTCAATAAAGCTGTTTTTTAAAAAGCAGTGTTAAGTTAAACTGCATAGCGTGTCAATTTCAGGTCACATGGGGCCCTCTGGTACCCAAAACCAAAGAGTTAATAACTTATAATCAGTCTTGTTTGACTTCCATTTTATAAAGCAGTGATCTCAGGACTTAATTTCACTCACAAAAATACCTGTCAAGATTCTAGGTTTAGTGGGGAAGGGAGGGGAAGATGGGAATGGGAAAGAGTAGAATGAATTGGACATAAATTTCCTATGTTTATATTTGAATATATAACCAGTATAACTCCACATCATATGCAAACACAAAAATGGGAAGTTATACTCCATGTGCATGTCAAAATACATTCTGTCATGTGTAACTAAAAAGAATAAAAAAATTAAAAACCAAAAAGATTCAAGGTTTACATCTACAAGATCACACAACCTGAATCAATATACAGCAACAGGATAATAGCAATGTATTTGGAGACTGCCAATATATTATCCAGAAAAGAATTATTTCCATAAACTGCAATTGGTATCTATTGTGTAACCAGTTCTGAACTGTTCTTAAAATTTCCATTAAAATTATTTCCTAAAATACTAGTCTATCATTCAAGGACTGTCTTCCCCATGGACATTATTCCTTAAACTCTCTGTCTTTTCAGTTTCGGCTGCTTCTCTATTGCCAACTTGTGGCATAATCTTTGAAAATCTCTTCATCTATAATATGAAGAAGTTAGCCTAGGGGCCCTCTCTAAACTCTATTAACCTCACTTTGTATCAGGTTTACATACAGTATTGTATGTTGAGCCACAGATGAACAAAATATGACCTCTGCCTTAAAAAATACTTACAAACTAGAAACACATACATGGAGAAACATAACAAAGCAATTATATCAAGTGTCATTAACAGAAATGAAGTTGCCCTTTAGGATATCTTGAGTAACTGAGATTTTCTGGTAGGATGGCATTTTCGCTGGGCCTTAAGCAGCTGACAGAATCTGTAGAGAGGAGACAGTGTTTCAGTCAGAAGGATTTGATGAATTAAGTTAGAAAACTGCAAGTCATGCTCTAGGAACATTAATGCCACATGGTAGATGGAACAGATGAAATATAGGTGAAATGAAAGAAAAAGATAAGACTGGAAAAGTAGGATGGAAATATATTATCCAGATGATAGAATGGCATTTTCGCTGGGCCTTAAACAGCTGACAAAATTTGTAGAGAGGAGACGGTGTTTCAGTCAGAAGGATTGGATGAATTAAGTTAGAAAAGTGCAAGTCATGCTCTAGGAACATTAATGCCACACAGTAGGTGGAACAGATGAAATGTAAGTGGAATGAAAAAAAAAAAGATAAGACTGGAAAAGTAGGATGGAAATATACTGTGAAAGGATCCAAATACCAGACTAAGAAATCATGATTTCAAACTGTAGGCAAGGGAAACCATGGAAAACATATGAGCTGACCTGAGAAGTTCCCTGTGCCTACAGGTTGGGAAGGAATAGTTAGAAAAGAAAACAGGAGGTAATGAGGATCAAGACTAATAGACCTATTGTATCTACAACAGACCTAGCAAGAGGGAGAGAATGAGCTTCGAAGAGAGAAAAAGGAGATATTTCATAGGTAGAGCTGAATAATGGAAACTAATGGATTTAATAAAGGGAGAAATCTTAAGTCAAAGCCAAGAAAGCCCTCTGAAATCATCCAAAGTGATCCAGCAGTTCATTAACTTTTCAAGTAGAAAGATCACTTTTAAATCCTGTATCACATCTTAAAACTCCTTTAAATGATAAAATTATCTGTGTTTTTAATTGCAATTGGCATCTATTAAATGTGTACTAAATCAAAAGTAAAAGTTGCAGTTCTAATATTTTAACTTCTACTTCCATATTAGAAGTTTCTATTGTATCTCTGCTATTGACATTCCCATGTTATACAAGGTAAGCAAGTGTGTGGTAGGGTCTAAATTATTTTTTAAAATTACAAACAATGAGATCATAACTTTTGCTATTTTTTTCTCATTGGACTTATTATGAGAGGTCTTTCTATATCCACACCTACAGTCCATCTTCTCTGACTTCCATGTTGCAAAGCAAGAATCTTAGCACTTAATTTCACCACAAATAATATTTTAAATAATTGCACAGTGTTACATGGCAATACCATATAATTAATTTATATTCCATTTTAATGAATATTTGGGTTTTTTCTGCTATTACACACTACCTGTTATGAATATTCCCTGGACATATAACACATTTTATGCAAACATACCTGAAATCCTATAACACAAATGACTCAAAATGTGTGTGAAATTAAAATGTTGGTTACCAGATCAGGATCCTTTTTTTCAAAATATATTATATATATATATTTATTTATTTTAGTTGCAATTAGACATAACTATTTTATTTATTTATTTTTAAAATGTGGTGCTGAGGCTCGAACCCAATGTCTCACTCATGCTAAGCAAGCGCTCTACCACTGAGTCACAAACCCAGCCCTGGACAGGATCCTTTTTTAAGAGAGGACAAGAATTCGTACACATGGTTGTGGAGTTTTTATAGGTGGAGGACCTTGTTTTTTTCCTCCAATTCCTACTTCATGGATAAGGGAAGGAGGCCAGACGACTGGAGAAAACACACCCAGGGGCTGGACTTGAGTCCCATCTCTCGCCTTCAAGCCCAAGATCCTTTCCTCTCTCCAATTTCGGCTAATTTCTGCTTCCCCAACATGGAAAGTCACTCTCCTCGCCTCCACCCACCCATCTCCATACTTGGGGGTGCTCACTCCAGGTCAAGCACCGGGATTCTCTCACCGATGGTTCTCGTTAAGCAGGGAGAAAAGCGGGCCCAGGCGCAGCTCCGCCGCTTGCTCTCGAAGCTCGTTAAGCGGCACAGCCTGTATCACCGATTGCAGCGCACGCAGCTCCTCCAGGGGCGCTTCCAACCGAGCCACCTCCCTCAGCAGCGCCAGCGCCTGCGCCGCCATCTTGCCGGCTCCTGCCCGCCGGGCCAGCAGGTTCCCGAGGCGCTTCTCCAAGCCTCGCGAGATGGGTTGAACGCAGGCTCCTTTTCGGTCTGCCAAGTCTCGCGAGACTCCTGGAACGTCTCAGGTTGCCAGTGATCTAGCTCCTCGGTCTGACGTCACGAGGAACTGTGCTCAGTTACTCCTCCTGCTTTTCCCAGCAACTTGGTGAACTGGCGGAGTGGAAGCCTCGTAGGATGCCCAGCCAGCTGAGCCGAGAGGATGAGGGCCTGTCGGCAGTCAGACGGCCTGGAAATGGCCTCCCCGCCTCCAGACCAGACCTTTGGCACTGGAAAGAGCCGCCTTTGTGGAGGCCTCTCGGCTTTGGGCCTTGGGGGAACTTAGATCCTGGGCCACACGCCTGTCCAGAGGAGGCAGAGGGTTCTGCCTCGGAAGGCAAGATGAAAATTCTCGAGAAGCTGGACGAAGGCGTGAGTAATACGATCGTGGGGCGCCTTTTTGGTGTCGACGAGTCAACAGTACTCGTGATGGAGAAAAACACGAGGGCTGTTTGGGCTGGCATGGAGAGTGTTTTGCCCGACTGCTCCAAGATTCCCGTGAGGTAGACCCCAAGAAGATGGAGACCTCGGTAGCCTTTTGAGTGGAGGGGCAGAGCACAGAAGGCGGCCTCTTGACTGCAACGGCCTCTGCACCCAGGCCAAACGCATCTGTATTGCATGTGGTGGGAACCAGTGGTCAGGGCGGTTCAGATATGTTTCCTGCGAGCCAGGAATGGTTTGAGAAGTTTATAAATAAATACTGTGAAATATAAAGTTGATGAGGAAGGAAGAACCGTTAAATCCTGAGTTGGCACCCAAACAGTGCAAGCAATTGGAGCGACTCATCAGAGAGAGAAGCAGTGTGCCTCAGCAGGTCCTGAATACCAAGGAGATGAGCCTAGTTTGGAAACGCATGCTTTCCCATACTTTTAAGGAAATAGACAAAAATCTGGAAAGCTTAGAGGAAACTTAAGGACAGCATTTCCTTCATTTTGTGTGTCAATGTCTCCCGTGACAAAATGATGAATACATTGCTGCTTCACAAAGACCTTAATCCCACTTTTCTTTTGGAAAAAAGATTTTTTACAATACCTTCTTTTTGGATTGGTTTTTATAATTAGATTATCCATGAAACTAAGGTGCGTTTAACAGAGAAAAAAAAAAAAAAGCACAAAAAACTTGAATTCAGAGTGTTGCCAGTTGTGGAAAAAAGTCCTGGTTACCCTGACTCATTATTTGCTCGTTATTTGATGTTATTGGGTTTCTTTCCTTGGAAGACACTAGCTTTCTCCAGCCCTTGAACCATGGTATAACTGAGGTATTACATCAACCATATGTTTGAACACCTTGCTGACTGCATTGACAAAAAGCTTACTTTAAAAGAAACATGACAACAATGCCACATTTCTGAAGTAGTGGTAAAAGAAGTGATGAATGATATAAAACCAGCCGTCTTTAATAAGGCTTAGTGGAAAGATTGGAAGGATGTTCTTTGAATGCGTATGCATGTTTCCCCAGAGTTAATGAAGAAGTTGAAAAAAAATCCGTCTGCATCAATATAAAGGAAAGTGAAAATAATGAATTACTAAAGTTCCAGTCTTTGGGAATAATTTAGAGTCTATATCCATAGATGATGAAGACCAGTCCCCAACTAGAGGTAAAGATGAATCTAAAGAAATTGCTGTCTTAAACGATGCCTCAGATTTCATTGATTCTGCAGTTGATACAGATCCTTTCTTGGATTGAAGTTTGACATTTAAAAAAGGTTTCAGAGCTGGTTGCGGTTGCGCATGTCTGTAATCCCAGCAGCTGGGGAGGTTGAGGCAAGAGGATTGTGAGTTCAAAGCCAGCTCCAGCAAAAGCGAAGCACTAAACAACTCAGTGAGACCCTGTCTCTAAATAAAATACAGAAAAGGGCTGGGGATATGGCTCAGTGGTCCAGTGCCCTGAGTTAATCCTAGTGCAATCCCCCAAAAAAGATTACAGTAAATTGCTGTATGTCTATAGAGAGGTGCAAAAGAAACTTAAAGGAACTGAAGGAAGAAATAAACAATAAAGGAAATGATAAGGGAGAAATAAACAAAGTAAATGATAGGGATGGGTGTAGTATCTGTGTCGCAGGGGAAGTCTGAGTCTTACTTAAAGTCAGCCTGAATCAATTCCATAGGGAGGAGGAGAAGGAAAGAGAAAAGGTATAGAATAAAAAGCTTCCTGGCAGTGGCACTAAGACTTGATAATAGCTGAAAAAACTGTCAAAGCCATAATTGGAGTTCTAAAATCTAACCTTGGAATTGAATTTGGAATGAGTATGAGTTGAAGGACAGAGCGGATCCAGAGGTTGTTTCTTCCAAATAACACTTCATCTTATTATCATTCTCTCATTACCTCAACATCACCTTCATCACTACCATCATCTTTGTAATCACCAGACACATCTGTAACATTTAGTCATTCAACAGATATTGAGTGGAAATTCTGTATAGTCCTGTTCTAAACTTGGGAAATCAACTCAGGAAATATCTGAGGATCTGAGGTAAATGGTCATTAACAGTACCCATTCTTATGGATGATTGGTATGAGAGATCATGGCCCCAGTTTATTTTAGAGGGCTTAAAATACAAAGGTTTTCTTAGGACCATTCAGCCTCTAACCATATATGTTAAATTTTTCAGTTACAAACAAGTGTTGGTGGTTGACATGAGACTGTTTCTTTTTGAAATGGTGACATGATCATACATTTTATAAAGCACTCAACATTAATCTGTTAATCCTCACTCCAGACATATGAAGGAAGTTATTAGCCCTGCATTTATCAAAAACCTCCCTTCAAACCCAGAGAGGTTAAGAAACTTGCTTGAGTCTGCACAGCTAATGTAAACAACAGGATTAGGATTACAAATGATTAACTACTTTGTCAGACATTTTCATAAGTCTATCACGCCTTTAAGAATTTGTAGTTGTTTGATCCTCAGCACCACATAAAAATAAGATAAATAAAGGTATTAATATTTAAAAAAAAAAATAAAAGAATTTGTAGTTTTAGCCAGGCGTAGTGGCGCATACCTGTAATCCCAGTGGCTCAGTTTGGGAGGCTGAGACAGGAGGATCTCAAGTTCAAAGCCAGCCTCAGCAAGTTAGCAAGACCCTGTCTCAAAAAATAAAGAGAGTGGCTGGGGTTGTGGCTCAGCAGTAGAGCGCTCGCTTCGCACATGCGAGACCCTGGGTTCGATCCTCAGCACCACATAAAAATAAATAAGTGAAATAAAGGTATTGTGACCAACTACAACTAACAAAATAAATAAATAAATAAATAAATAAAAAGAGCTGGGCATGTGGCTCAGTGGTAAGTGCTCCTGGGTTAAATTCCCAGTAGCCCCAGAAAAGGAAATTGTAGTCTCAACAAGTGAGACAAATGAACAGGTGATGAGAATAAACAGGGAAGCTATGAACTGCAAATCTGCAAATAAGATTTTGTTGTTTTCCTTCCATTTTGAAAATTTTTTCAATTGTTTTTCAGTATTTCCTGTTTTGTGTAAGAAACTATTTACATACAATAGAATTCACCTGTTGAAGTGTCCAGTTGAATTTTTTTCATACCTGTGTAACTGCCAACAGAACAATTAAGATGTAAAATGGTTCCCTGAAACAGTTTACCTGTGCACTAAAGCTTTTCCTCTGTGCTAACTTGCCATCATTTTAAAATTGGGATATTTCACATTGAAAAGCTGCAAAGAGAAAATAGCATATGAAAAGGTATACAGTAAAGGACATAAATATGAAGGCATTATAATAAAAAGGCATATTAAAAATTTGGAAACTGTAGTAGCAGTGGACTCTGCATTCCTAAGGGACAACAGTCAGCCTTTGGCTTGCTGGTTTTATGTGCTGCTCTCCAAAACAAGCGCAGTGTGTCTTCTTTAGAAGAGGACTGAGATTAACTGAGAAAGGCTCCCAGGGCAGTTGGCCTGGGAAAAGGAATGAGTTTATTAGGAAGTGAAGAAGTGGGCAAGAGTATTCTAAGCCAAAGAGAATTAGGGGAAATCCTCGGAGGAGGGGGCAATATGGGGGCCACATTGTGTAAGGGTTACATTCTGTGCTTCCCTTGTTTATAGGTAGTTTGAAGCTCTTTAGAGAAGAGTTTTGTGTATGTGTTTTAGTGTTTGTGTGCTGTGGTTTCTGAAAGTTTATGTCTTTGTATGTTTCTGGGGACATGCCTTTTTGTTTGTTGGAATGGAAAGAGAAAATAGCATATATTTTTGCAAGAGTTATAGGTCTGAGTGCTTAGGTTGTAAGTTTCAGGGGAGAGGTGTGCCCAGTGAAAATAACCTCCCTTTCCCAGATTCCTACAGTGTCTTTGGCCAGCCTGGCTGGGGCGGGGCGGGCAGTGTGCAGACCAGAGGCCTTGTGGGGAAAGGGCAGATAAGGCCCTCAGTGCCCGCCCACCAGCCGGCACCCTGCCTGAGACTGTAATTCACTGCCACTGCCTTGTGCTAAATTACCAACAAAGCCATGGACAGGCTGGGATCACGGTGCCCTCTGCCAGGCTACTCGCGGCCTTCTGTCCTCATATGCTTTCTGGTGAGTCCTTAGTCTACAGGGTGAAACCCCCTCATCCTTAAACCTTCAGCTTGGGGACGGAAGGAGAAGGATGGAGGAGAAGAAGGCATATTTCTCTTGACTGGTCCTGGGGTTTTAGTTGGGAGCAGGTAGGTAAGATCCTTTGGAGGTAGTGGGGTGGTTCTCAAGGTTACCACCATACCTTTACTCCTGACTTCTAGGGACAGGTGAGTGTGCTGTTTCTTTGCTAGAGTGGGGGAGGGCAACGGGTATCTGCTGATAAAGTCCCACTTAAGTGTTTCATGATAGATTCTTTCCTTTTCCTATTGTATAATAGACTAATTTTCTGGGACTGTGTTTTCTCATCTGAAATGTCTTAAAATTGATGTTGGAAGTGAGAATGGGGAAAAAGCCTAGGAGAGGGTTAGAAGCCCTGGGTTCTAGCCCAGCTTACCCCTTACTTTTGGGAGTGATTGCTCCCATTCACTGATCATTATTTCCTTATCTGTTAAAATTGGCACAAATCAGTGGCTCTTAACTTTCAGGGACTGTAAATCTTATTGAATTGTTTTTTTGAAAGCTCTGGATTTGTACTCCAGGAAAATGTATAGATAAACTCAATATTGCATTTGACTTCAGGGTATTTACAGATTCCTTGGATTACAGGTTTAGTGCCACTGGCTTTGGTGATTAGTGAAGCCCCTTCTGCTTGTCACAGGCTGTAAAGTCAACCATAGCCTCTGAAAGGCTGTGTACATATTCTAGGACAAAAAAAAGGAGAAAGGTTGAATACAATAGGAAATTACTGAAAGGGTACATAAAATATTTTACAAGAATGTTAAATTAGATAAGGTATATTTAAAAAGACATCAATATGAAAAGGTATATAGTAAAGGACATAAATATGAAGGCTTTATAATAAAAAGGCTTTTCTTTAAAATTTATGGTGACTCTTTTCCCATGATAGTAACTGTTTCTGTTAGGGGATGTTGTGATATGTATATTTTCCACTGGTTTCACACTCATAACATGTTACTTTTTAAAATATTATAGTCCACTTTGGGGTCCAAATGACCTTTCTTACTTCTGATATTTAACTGATGTGGCCCATAAACATTTCTCAGGCATATAGTCTGTTCCCAGATAGTAATGTGGTAGGAATACAGGAAGGAATGAGAATGAAGACTTCCTATCCAATGGGAGAGGCATAGAAACAACTCTGTATTTCATTGTATTCTGTGAATGGCACAACAGAAGGAGGTTTAGCAGCAGCCTTGTCTCCACCCACTAGATGACAATGGTACCTCTTCCCTAGTCATGACAGTCAGAATTGTCTCTAATCATTGCCAGATGTACACAGAGGGGCAAAATCTCCCTGAGTTGAGAATCACTGGATAACACAAAGCTTCAAGGATGCCCTGAATCCATTCTTAGTCTTGCTTATTGCAAAGCATAAAAGTCAGAATGGAAGTCAGGGGTCTTGGAGGCAAGAATTGGTCTATCACTGAGTTTCTGTATGTTCTGCCTTGGTTTTCTTATTTGTTGAGTTAAGGGTTGTCTTAGATAATACCTGAGGGCCCATCTACCTCTTGGTTGGTTATTTATTTATTTGAGGGGTACTGGGGATCACCAGGAGCACTTTGCCTCCTCGGTCTTTTTTTTTCTTTTCTTTTTTTTTTTTTTTTTTAAAGACAGGGTCTTCATAAGTGGCCCAGGCTGGACTTGAACTTGCAGTCCACTTGCCTAGGCCTCCCACAATGCCCGGCTGAATGCTCCTTTTCTTTAGAGTGGTGCTGGAAGCTTCTTTAGAGTCATGTAGCTGGAACACCATACAATGTTCTGAAAGCACTGCTCACAGTGGGTGACCCAGAAGCCTTGCCTTCTTCACAAGGCTATTTAGTCTTAGCAACAGCATTTCACTTGTGTGCTACTAAGTCACTAATCCACAAGTATTTATTGAGAACCTGCTGTGTGCCAGGAACTGAGGTGGGGAGAATGGTGAACTAAACACAGCCCTTCCTTTATTGAGTTAGTGATTACAAATTGCTTTTCCTATCTTGTTTGAACCCCTATCAACTCTTGAGTTAGGCAGCATGAATGTCATAATCTCCAGTTTTTACATCAGGATTATAGAAGGAAGAGGAAGAAACTTGGCAGGCCACAGACAGCTATCTGTACTGGCACTAGGATTTAAATCCTGCCCTCTAGTCCTTCTATTTTTTCCCCGCTATGGTCCAATTGAGTTGTCAAAAAGAAATAACAGTAAAAGCTTCCTTGAAAAGCCTGGTTCTTTTTTTCTTGCATGGTTTCTGGTTTGGTTCAAAGAGCTAATATGAGACTGAGGCACTGTGGAGATAGTGGGAGGGAATGAAAAACCCAACCCAAAAGGCCTGAGGTCAAACTGCAGCTAAAGATACAAAACCACTACTCAGGCCCTGCCAACAAGAAGGAGCTAGGACAGAGGCGATAATGTAAAATGAGAAGGGAGGACAGAGGTTCATTTGAGCAAAGCCGGATCCCTGGCCTAGGAGGCAGGAGAAGCAGTTCTTGTTCAGCCTTGCTGAGTCCCTGCCTGACTCCTTGCAAGTTGCCTCTGTCCCTGTTAATAGCTCCATTATGTCCACCAAACGGAGAATCCTGGAATAGAAGGGATCTCCAGTTCTTTTTATTCCCCCCGATTTTGGATGTTTGTCATTAAAATAAAAAGAAGTTATATCTTGAATGCCTTTTCCTCTCACATGGTCAGTGCCACCTTAGTCCAGGATTTTTTTATAGGATTTTTTTAATATTTATTTTTTTAGTTGTAGTTGGATATAATTCCTTTATTCCATTCATTTATTTTTATGTGGTGCTGAGGATCGAACCCAGGGCCCCTGTGCATGCTAGGCGAGCGCTCTACTGCTGAGCCACAATCCCAACCCCAGTTCAGGATCTTAATGTCTTTTTCTTGGGTTACTAAAATGGCTAAGTAGCCTGCCTTCTGATAATTCCCCATTCCCAGCCCTTTTGTAACGCTACTTGGCTTGGCCATATTATTATTGTCTTACTTAAAAAACCTCTAAAAGCACTCAGTCACCTGAGTGCAAACCCCCAACTCTGTGGCCTGACCCTTTTCTGTATAATTCTAGGCAACCTCATTTTCTCTGATCTACTCTTACTATCCCATGCAAATCTAGTACAGACTGGATATTTCATATGTCCCTTGTACCTCTTGAGTTTGTACATATTATCATTTGCTTAGAGCACCCTCTTATAATCCTACTTATTTCAGATCCAACTCAGATGACATCTTCTTTTCAGTCCTACCTCATTCCTTCTCTTCAAAGCTTTTTCCTACTCCTTCTAGCATAGCTTTCCTCTTGGTCCTCCCAGCACAGCAGCCCAGGTTACATTGTTTCAGAATTGATCTGTTCACAAGCCTACCTTTTGCACTAGATTGTCTGACATTCCCTAATGCATATACAAATGAACGCAGGTGAAATTACTCCTTGAAAATCAATAGATTTAAGAGTTTATCATAATGATCTTCTCATAATGATGGCAGTTCGGTGGATGCCAGTTAGTATCACCAGCAATAGCAGTTTTGCACAATAAAAAAGGATTTGAAGTCATCCAGGCTTGAGTCCAAATCCTGGCTTCACCAATTAAAGCTATATGATTTTGAAAAAGTTTTTTTGAATTATAAGCCTCCATTTTCTTTCTCATCTAAAATATGCAGAGGAAAATATGAAAACTCAATGTAGATTTCAGGGGTTATTTTATAGATGGGGTTGGGGGATGAAAAAATGATATCAGCCTTGGTTCTAGTCTGCTGGAGTTGGGAGTCATTGACCTGTGCTTTTCTTTTCCACTGTGTAGATCCTGGCAACTTCTTTTCTGATGTACCCCATGCTCAGGACCCTTAGCCTACAGCTTCACTCAGCCATCACCGGCAGCTATATCTCTGGCACACACTCCATCGTCTTTGTCAACTGTCCCAACGAGCAAATTGCTAGAGACATTGCCAGGTATAGTGCAGGGGCTAAGGTGCTGCCCCAGAAGACTTGGGAAGCTCTAAGAAGCTCCAGAGGGACTAATTTGGGCCCTTCTCTTGCTTCTCACAAACCTGCCTGTCCAATGAACTCTATAGCTGTCTGCTTGGGGTGATACAAGGAGCATGGCCAAATGATCCCCTGACTGATGCTGCTGCAGGGCCTAAAAATGTCAAGTGGTGCAGGAGGGCATAAAAGGGATCTGAAGCCCAGAGAGAGGTGGTTTGTTGAAGGCATAAGAGAGTTGTGGAACCCTGCAGGTTTGTAATCGTAAGTCTCCAAATTGATGACCCACCTCTCTTTGTTCATATGTAAGGAGGAGGAGGTCATTTCAAGTATTTGGCTGTTTTCTAGAAGCAGCTGTGACATACTAGAAAGAACACTGGACTAGGCCAGGGTTTCAATGTGAATATGCCATTTACTATGTACGTGATCTTGGCCGAGCTGTGTCTCTTCTTCCACTTCCTCCTTTTCCTCCTCTTCTTTTTTTTTGGCAGTGCTAGACATCAAACCCAGGTCCTTGAGCATGGTAGGCAGGTATGTACAGCCAAGTCATATCTGATTCCCTTCTTGAAGCATCAGTTTTCTAAATTATAAAACGGCATTATGCCATCTACCTCACAGGGTGGTGGTGAAGATTAAATGAGATGAAATATAAACAGTGCATACCCCAGTAAATATAGTAGGTGCTCAGAAAATGTTTATTATATCTGAATTTTCCCCCTTCTGTTTATAGATACAGGTTAAAGAGAGTTAGTGAGGCTGAGAAGTAATGGCCGTGGCTCTGTGTTCCTTTTCTTCTTGCTTTACAACTCAGCCTTCTTGAAGTTAATAGTAGACTAAAACTAGTCCAGTGTCACAATAACAATCAAATGCCTATAGGCAGCCAGGCACGGTGACACATGCCTGTAATTCTAGTGGCTTGGGAGGCTGAGGCAAGAGGATCATGAGTTCAAAGCCAGCCTCAGCAATTTAACAAGGCCCTAAGCAACTCATTGTGATCCCATTTCTAAGTAAAATGCAAAAATGGGTTGGGGATGTGGCTCAATGGTTAAGTGCCCTGAGTTCAATCCTTGGTACCAAAAAAAAAAAAAAAGAAAGAAAGAAAGAAAATGCCTGTAATCAGGTAAATGAGAAGTGGGCTGGTGTATAATGATGGTGCTTCCTAGGCTTTGGGAGGAAAGAGCAATGGAACTGTGTTGACCTGAGAAGCGTATTTCATGCCTCAAGGGAGCAGCTGCTGCTCAGCTCTAGCATGGCTAAATTTGACCTGCAGGCCCAATATTGGAAGATTCACTTTTTTCTTTTTGCTAGAAGCTAGATAATCTGTATTGTTTGGGGTGTGAAATACATTCTATATTAAATATTGGTTAATAAAGCCAAGATTTTTTTTGGGGGGGTACCCAAGATTGAACTCAGGGGCACTTGACCACTGAGCCACATCCCCAGCCCTGTTTTGTATTTTATTTAGAGACAGGGGCTCACTGAGTTGCTGAGGCTGGCTTTGAAACTTGCAATCATCTTATCTCAGCTTCCTGAGCTGCTGGGATTACAGGCGTGTGCCACTGCACCTGGCCAATGTCAAGATTTTTTAAAATGTCATGGGACCAATATGTATCTGTTCTTTGAGCCACTACCCTGTGTGACCTCTGCACTTCTCCCTTCTGCTTCCTAAATCCTGAGCTCCCCATGTGTGGCTCTCTACTGGTCTTGAGGGTTTGTGTGTCTGTTTTAAAATTGAATTCAGTCAGCCTCTCTTCTTCCCTACTCTCTTTTATAATGCTCTAGGGACTTAAAAAAATATGTATTATATATATTACATATATTATATATAATATATATATATATATATATATATATATATATTTATTTATTTTAGTTGTAGTTTGACATAGGACTTTTATTTTATTTATTTATTTATTTTAAGTGGTGCTGAGGATCGAACCCAGGGCCTCACACATGCTAGGCGAGCGCTCTACCACTGAGCCACAGACCCAGCCCTTTAGGGACTTTTTGTATAAAAACCCTCCATATTCTATAATCTCTTACCTAAAGACAGGTTGTTATTATCAGTTGCTGAGGAGTTCATATTTGGGAAAGGGCTTCTGAGGCAATGTGATCATCTTCCATGGGTGTGTAACTTGCTCCTTGCATTTGCTTAACACTGGGAGAACCAATGAAATGTAATTTCTCAGTGAGCGGTTGAGTGAACAAGGCTCACAGCAGTTGCTTGAACAAGTTTGTGTGACAGGTCTCTTCTTACAGTTGATAATTTTCCAAGAGAGTAACAGTGGTGATAATGTCACATGAATATGGAGCCTTAAATAGAATACTCTTCAGCTTGGGACTCAAGGAAAAAGAAAAGAGGTCAGTTCTCTTGGTAACGGCTGAGGGAAAGAGGAATCAGCGAGCAGGGCTCAGATAAGGTTTGTTTGGCTCGGTCCAAGCACATCAGAGAACAGAGGTGAGGTTCCTTTGGTTTCCTTTAAAAAAGAAAGAAAGAAAGAAAGATGAAAAGGTCCTATATTTGCCAAAACATGATGCTTTTTTTTTTCTTTTTGCTTTTGCTTGGAATTGTATTAGTTTTGTGTGGTCACATGGGTATTTATAGTCAGAAGCACTTAGTGTCTCAGCTAGATTATCTTTGGTGGTTAAAGGTAGAGGTAGCATAATAAAAGAAATTATTGGGAATAGGAAAGGTTGAAAACCACTGGCCAAACCAGTCTTGTTGTATAGCAGGTCAGGTTGCTTATTTCCCCAAAGCAGGAGAGGGACAGAAAAAAGAACTTACTTAAGGTCCCATAGCCATCTTATAGCAGGGCTGGAAATGGAATTCGGATCTTCTTTAGGTCCAATGTTAATTACTGCCCAGACCCCAGACAGACTGGGCCTCTCCTTAAAACTTCCTTCCCATAGCTGCTTTCTTACTTCTCACCCAGAAAAGTACATAGAAACAGCTCTGTCTTCAGAGGTTCTATGCATGCTGTTTATGGACTGTTCTGAAGGGAGGTGATGAAGTGATGTCTGAGTCTGTTTTCTGTGGCAGTAACTGAATACCACAAGCTGGGTCATTTATAAACAATAAAGGTTTATCTAGATTATGGTCCTGGAGGCTAGGAACTCCAAGAGTATGGTGCTGATATCTAGTGAGGGCCTACTTCCTGCTTTATAATATGGCAGAGAACATCACATGGTGATACAGAGCAAGTATGCTAGGTTGGTCTCTCTCCCTTTTCTTATAATGCCACCTATGCCCTCATGGTGGTGCCATCCTCATGACCTCAGGTAATCCTAATCACCCAAAAGCCCCACCTCCAAATCCACTAACATGATTTAGGGAATTCTGGGGACACACTGAAACCATAACTTCTGCCTCTAGCCCCCAATATCCATGTCCTCACATGCAAAATACAATAAACCCCCAAATTTTAACTGGTTCCAAAAATAATATAAAAGTCCAAAGTGCATTTTCTTATCTGAATCAGATTTGGGTGAGACTGAAAGCATGCCTGAGGCAAATTTAATCTACTGTGGCCTGAAAAATCAAAGGAGCTACACACTTCTACAGCACAGTGGTGAAACAGGCCATAGGACAGATGTTCCCATTCTAAACAGAAGAGTCAGGCAAAAAGAAAGGAGTCACCAGCTCCATGGAGGTCCAAAACCCAACAGGATGAACAGCATTAAATCTGAAGGCCCTAGAACCATCTTCCATAATTGCATGTTCCCCTTCCTGGATATATTGGGACAGGGGTTATGCCCCCGAGGCCTTGTGCAGCCCAGCCTCCACCTCAGTACAGCTTCAGCTCACTTGGGTAAGCTGATAGCTCTTACTTGCCCACCATATAGCTCTATAATCCCGGGTCTCTGTGGCAGTCCAACCCCTGTGGCTCTACTAGACATTGCCCTAGTGGATCCTGCAGCAGCTTCAGCCCCACATTTCCATGCTGCTATTAATTCCCAAGAGCCTCACAAATACTGTTAACAGGATAAAATTTCTAACACATGAAATCTGGGGACTAAACCAAAGCAGGGGAGGGACATCCTAAATTATTTTCTACTTAGATTTAGATTTCCAAGGTAATTCCCAAGAACCCCTGTTCCCATCCTTTCTCTTTAGATCCTGGGACTTGCTCTAGTGACCGCTACCTTTGCTTTAGGGGCATACTGGATAAGAAACTGGCTGCCTCTGTGAACATCTTGCCCAAGACATCTTCACTGTGAGTTTTGCTATGGCCAATAAAGGGGAATTGGGAGTCTTAGGGTCAGGTCCTGGCTAGTGGAAAGAGCACTAAACTAATGGGAATTACCAAAGAATAACTCAAAGGTATTAAATTAGTCAGTGGTTCACAGTTGACTTATATTCAGAGGAGATCAATCAAGTAGTTTATCTCATCCAAGGAAAGCAAAAATATGCTGTTTATAGAGAGAGAAGGAAAAAGTAATGTTACTCTGTTATTGTTCACATCATCTATAGCAGTGGCTCCCAAATTTGGCTGTAATGTCAATTCCCTGAACTCCAGCCTAGATCTGTTCAGTTAGTGGGTGGGCCCAGGCCTTTGAATCTTTAAAAAGCAGAACAAGGGTTAGGGAGGTAGATCAGTAGTAGAGCATTTGCCTACATGTGCAAGGCCCTGGGTTCAATTCTAAGCATTAAAAAAAAAAAAAAAAAAATGTTATAGGCGATTCACTATTCATCCAGTCTGGAAATGAGTGTTTTGTAACCAGAATAGAATATCAGCTTAGAATTCTTATATTTACCAAAGCTGTGACAGGGAAGGGCCCATGGCCTAGGTCATCTTAGATTTACCCTGGGTCAATGTACATCTCAGGCTAAATCTCTCCCTTTTCCCATGATGCTGTTCTTTTTTTAATATTTATTTTTTTAGGTGTATATGGACACAACACAATGCCTTTATTTTTATGTGGTGCTGAGGATTGAACCCAGGTCCCGCCTGTGCTAGGTGAGCGCTCTACCGCTGAGCCACAATCCCAGCCCTATGATGCTGTTCTTAAACTCTTTTCTTCTTCTCTTTCTTCTTCTTTTGTTTTTTGTAACAAGGATTGAATCCACTAAGCCACATCTCCAGCCCTTTTTTATATTTTATATAGAGACAGGGTCTCTATATAAGGGAGGTGATGAAGTGATGTCTGAGTCTCACTAAATTGCTGAGGCTGATTTTGAACTCACAATCCTCCTGCCTCAGCTCCCAAGCTGCTGGGATTACAGGCATGTGCCACTGTACCCAGCTCTTACACTCTGTTCTGAATATCATCACTGATTTTATTTTTCATTTCTAGAAGTGTGTGTATCTTACAAGGTTTAATTCTCCTGAAGCCTTCTGAATTTTTTCATTCATCCATTCATGGGCACTCAGCTTTGAAAGTCAGTGATCATAGCAACACTAGTCAAAGGGTCAGGGAGGGGACTGGAAGCCATGAATATAGGATAAACATAGAAAGAACCGGAGATGAACTTGGAGGAGAAAAGATATAGAAGTATCTACAGAATTGTCCTGGGGTGGTTCCTCATGTAGCCAGTTGAGGAAAACAATGAGGTGGCAGATGTCAACATGTGTCAAGAAAAAACATTTCTGGCTGGGGTATAGCTCAGTGGTAGAGAGCTTGCCCGCATGCCTGAAGCCCTGGGTTTGATCCCTAGGACTGCATTTAAAAAAGAAAAGAAAAAAAAGTCTCATGTGAAAACATTTAAGTTTGAGGGACTTCTTCAAGAGATGGTGAACCTCCCACCTCCAGGAATGTTCTGGAAGATGCTAGATGCATGTGTTAGAATGATGGAACTAGATGATTTGTGGGGCTTTGACTAACTCTAGACTTCTTGATATGGACTTAGAAAGATTTTAGCTTCCTTTTTAGTAAGTCACCTATTCTGGCCAGGTTTGACATTTAATTCGCTGGGCTCCTTTTATGAGCTTCACAATTTGGTTTTGCTTTCTTTTCTAGTTTTTTATGGAAGGGAGAAATAGAAGAAGCCACTGAGGTCTTATTGGTAAGTAAGGATAGGAGCAGAGGTGGTCTGGGTAAGGGAATGAGTAAGACTAAGACCTTTTCCCAGGTTCCAGTGAAAATTAACATAAATCAATTGACTGAAGGTCTTGCTCACTTCAGATGCATGAGGTTCATTTGTGAGCTCCTGACATGACCTGGTGACCTGGGAGGAATGCAAACTGCTAAATGGCTAGGTGAATGAGCAGGGCAAAGCTGGGGCTCAGTCCTAAAGTAGTGTTTTTTTTCTTCCTTTACAGTTAATAAAGACAAAAACTTCCAAGGTCCTCATGCTGTCTGGCTTTATCAGGTAAGTCTAGCATTTCTTCACTCATTCTCACGACAGACAGGCAAATTCTTCTTCTGGGGACCAAATGAGTGAGCTTCAGAAGCAGGAAATCTGCAACCTAGCCATCAACTTCCCATATAACTTTGAGTAAGTCCCTGTCTCTTTCTGAATTATAGATTTTCTATAAAATAGGGAGCTAGAATGAGATAGTTTAAATCAGTGGATCTCAAAATATTGGTCTCAGAACCTTCACACTTTTAAAAGTTACTTAGACCAAAAAGAGCTTTGTTGTGGGTTAATAAAAAAAAATTAACTGTTTTGAGAGCATCATTTTACAAACGAATTTCTGTCTCCAGGGTCCATTCATTTCCCTAATAATCATATATACACATGCCTATCTCCCTTCCCCCTCTGAGAAAAGGTTTAGAAGCTTCCACTTCTAAATTTCAGACATGGTGTATGATTTTCATGTTTCGGAATGTTAATAAATTTTGTGTCTGTTCTCTTAAAAAATTAAAGTTAACTGTTTTAAACATTAAAGCTGAGCAATTTTTAAAATGTTTTAGGTCATTAAAAATAACAGTAGTAAACCATTATATATTAACACAAATAGTGCTATTTATTTTAGTGCTAGAGTTGGAACCCAGGGTCTCCTGCATGCTAGGCAAGCACTCTACCACTGAACTTCACCCCCATCCCAGTTCTATACATGCATTTTTATAGAAAGCAATCATAGTTTCCAAAGCCAAAAACTAGTGGGAAAAATAAAAGAACTGAAGATGAACTTGGAGGAGAAAAGATATAGAAGTGTCTACAGAATTGTCCTGGGGTGGTTCCTCATGTAGCCAATTGGGGAAAACAATGAGGTGGCAGATGTCAACATGTGTCAAGAAAAAACATTTCTGGCTGGGGTGTAGCTCAGTGGTAGAGAGCTTGCCTGCATGCCTGAGGACCTGGGTTTGATCCCTAGGACTGCATTTAAAAAAGAAAAAAAAGTCTCATGTGAAAACCTTTAACATTTTTGCAAAATCTGGTTTAGTAAGATAGCTAGATCTCCTCAAGAAACAGCTTTAAGTGGGCTGGGATTGTAGCTCAGCAGTAGAGTGCTTTCCTAGCATGTGCGAGGCCCTGGGTTTGATCCTCAGCACCACATAAAAAATAAGTAAAGGTATTGTGTACAACTAAAAAATAAATATTAAAAAAAAAAGGAGCACCTTTAAGTATTGGGACAATTTTAAGCTTACAGTAATGAATTCAAATTTTTCAAAATTCTAATTTTGTCTTAGAACATAATTTTATTAATGTTAATAAGTGATATAAATTGTCTTTGAGTATTGGGTTCAATTTGTTTCTATTTGAGGAAATGTCTTCCTAATACTCAAGACTTCAGAATAGTTTGTAAAAATGACAGTCAAATTACAGTTATTTAGGTTTGAAAGCAAAAATGTTATGCAAAAAAAAAAAGAAAAAGAAAAAAAGCATGTCTAGCTGGGCATGGTGGTACATGCTTAAAATCCCAGCAGCTCAGGAAACTGAGGCAGGAGGATTGTAAGTTCAAAGCCAGACTTAGCAACTTCGCGATGCCCTGTCTCAAAATAAAAAATAAAAAAGGGCTGGGGATGTGGCTCAGTAGTTAAATGCCCCTGGGTTCAATCCCCAGTACCAAAAACAAACAAACAAAAAAACATGTCTAGTTTAGCTTGTGACTCAGATTGTTTTCAATGACTATTGAACCTAGGTACACAACAGAAATGCCTACGTGTACTTCCCGTTTTGCCATTCAGAATATTAAAAAGACATGTATTCAAGGGTCAAAAAATAATTTAAAAAAGTAATTTTTACCACTTCAAAAATGTCTGACTTTTTAAAAATGCGGGTGTGAGGGCTGGGGTTGTGGCTCAGTGGTAGAGTGCATGCCTAGTATGCATGAGGCACTGGGTTCGATCCTCAGCACCACATAAATATAAAATAAAGATATTGTGTCAACCTAAAACTTAAAAATAATTTTTTTTTTTTAAAAAAAATGCAGGTGTGAAGAGTACAATGATAGTGTGGTTTGGTGCCACTGCTTGATATATGTAAACATGCAGGTAGTTTTACCCATCATTGCTTTTGCACCACTGTTACAAACATTGACATAGTAAAAAGATGAATGACAAATTAGTGTTATTATATAAATAGTTTTGACTTCTTAGACCCCATGGAAGAGTCTTGGAGACCCCTAGAGGTTAGTGGACCTCACTTTTAGAACCAGTGGTATAACCCTATATCATTCAAAGTGTAAGTTTTGGAATTGATATTACTGGACACTTGTTAGAAATGCAGAATCTCATGGTCACCCCAGACCTATGGAATCAAACTACATCTTAGTAATATTCCCCAGGAATTCCCATAGTCTAAACCAGTGGTATTTTTCAAACTACCACTTTAAATTTGTTTAGGATGGGAACAAAGTATGATATTATTATTGGTGTTATTTTTGAGACTGGGTCTTGCTATGTTGTCGAAGCTGGTGTTGGAACTTCTGGCTCAAGTGATCCTCCTGCCTCAACTGGTCCTACAGGTGCATGCTGTTGTACCCAGCTAGTATGGTACTGTTAAAAAGCACCCCAGGTTGCCTCGAATGTGCAGCCAAAGATGTGAACCACCTATTTGGATGATAAAATTGTTTCCCTTCACTTTTTAGAGAACTAGGAATCTGTGGCTATAAGGCTATAGCTAAGTCTCAAATGTTGCTATAGAGAAGGCCCTTATGTTACCATCTCAACAGAGTTGAGGGAGTAAGACATCTTTGGTAGAACCTACACTGTCAAGAAATAACTTAATACATCAGGGACAGCTTCAGGGTTAAGAGTGAGAACTCCAGAGCTTAACCTTCTAATGTTGAAATGTGGCTTCCCATTGGCTAGTTGTACCATAAGTACATGCAGAATATCAATACTTCTTGTGCCTCCGCTGTCTTGTCTTTGAAATGGTGATCATAGTCATGTGTTTTGGAATTAACATGTGAGGTATACATATGAAATGATGCTTTGTCATCAGCAGCTCTTACTACTAAAGTGCTTATTAAAATATGCACTTTGGCCTCTTTATGTTTATTTATAAAAGCAGTTACCTAGATGTCCATGAAAAAATTCATTATCCTCAGGAACTGGATAAAATTTATCCAACTTACTCCACATGTTTAAGCACCTACACCCATGTTGTGATTTGTTAATCATGTTATCTCATGAGAACTTTAAATTGGTTCTTTCAGCAGCAGAAAGGACATAGAGAATTATTATCCTGTTTGACAAATGGGAAACTGAAACCAAGTTCTCATGTTTCTTCAGTCGGAAAGTGAAGAGAACTTGTATTGTGTGACAAGAGCCAGGTGAAACAAACAGGAGAAAAGGGAGGGATTTCTGTGGCTTAGTGGTCAGTGAGGATCCCTTAGAAAAGGCTAGTGGTTGAGCTGGATCTTGAGGGAGAGAAAGGCTTTTGATTGATCAGCAGGAGCAGGAAGAACTTTCCATGTGGGGAAGAATACAGAGGAATTGTGGGAGGGAAGGTAGAACAGTGTGTATAGGAGACTAATGAAAGCAGAGGCTAACATCTAATAGAATGTGTGCAGTGCCAGTTGGTGGAGTAGGTAAGTGCTTTATATACCTTGTCGTATTTGTCTTCAGCAATCTAATTACATAGGTATTATTTTTATCCCTAGAAAATGAAGTGACTTGTCCATAGTCCTTACAGCTAGTAAGGAAATTTAGAATTTGAACCATGTCTGTGAGACTCTAAAGCCACCTGATCCAGCTTAGCTTGTTGACAGCTAAGAAACACGGGCTCAGGAATGGTGGGCTATGGCACTAGCCAGGTAGACTGTCACAGATTTCAAAGGGCCTTTCAGGAGGCTGGCTAGTTGGATCGTATCACATGGGTTGATTCACAGAGCTCTCCCTTCTTTCCAAAGGTTGGTGCATCCTTTTGAAATCCCAGAGGTCTTCAGTCTTCCCATGGACCAAGGAGATGTGCACTATTTAAAGTGGCTTGAGGAGGGCATGGAGGAAGACTGAGTAGGGAAGCTTCTGGTGCGTGCTGCTGGCTGCCTCTATCCCTCAGCTGCTGAACTCTGGGTAAGAGCAGGCCTCTTTCTACCTCCCAGCATCTGTGAATTCCAAGTTCCTGTCAGCAAAGAGGAGCAGCTCTGTGGGCTGAAGGTGTTTAAGGCTCCTAAGGCTGGAGAAGGCTGGACCAGTCATACCAGTAAAAACCCAGTGGACCTTGTCTTGAAGTACTACTTTGTTTAAAGATGGCAGAGGGTGGGAGGGTGAGGATAATTCTGTGTAGAGACCAAGGGAAAGTAACAGTGAAAGTGAGGTTTGTCGTTTTTGGTTACTGGACTGACCTAGGGTACCTAGGGTGACCTTGAATGCCTAGGGTATTATTATGCCCCAGCTTCTCCTGGGGAAGAATGGACCCAATGACCTTGTTCACCTGGAAGTGTGTGCCTCATTCTAGAGCAACTGGAAAGTACTCAAGTACTCTGTTCAAAAGGATGCATTATAATGGTGGAATTTCAGGGATCAGCAGGATTATTGCTCCTAGTTAGAGATTTTTATTGTTCCTGAGTCTTGAAGAGGCGAGTCTGGGAGTATGTGTGTAACTAGGGGAACATTAGTGCTTAGACACAGCTTCATGGGTTGCAGTAAGTTTTGACTCCTTCCTAGGCTGAATGTGACAGACATCAGAAGGTTCTGTGCCTTGCTCAGTGAAGAGGTTCTGTTCCAGTCAGCTTTTTTTGTCGTTGTATAAAAATACCTAATAAGAACAATTTTAGAGGAGGAAAAGTTTATTTGGCACTCGCGGTTTCAGAGGTCTCAGTCCATAGATGACCAACTCCATTGCTCATGGGCCTGAGGTGAGGTAGAACATCAAGGCAGCTCAGGACATGGCACTAGGAAGCAAGAGAGAGACTCTCACTCACCAGGAACAAAATATAAGCTCCTTCAACTATACCCTACCCGCTTCTAGTCACAACTCAGTTAATCCATTCAAGTGGATTAATATACTGATTAGGTTAAGGCTCTCATAACCCAATCATTTCACCTCTAAGCTTTCTTGCATTGTCTCACACATGAGCTTTTGGAGGATATCTCATATCTAAATCATAACAGGTTCTAAGCATAGAAATGGAACCCTGGGAACCTTCTAGACCAGTATTTTTCATATTTGCTGTATAAAGCTTCAGTAACCTGGATTCCTGACTGGTAGTAAGGGCATCAGATCCCCCCCAACCCACACACATACCCATACTCCTACCAGTGCAATTGTGCCTTCACTTTGGGGTAAGTTCCCCTGTAAGATTTGGAGTGTTTTGAAAACTTTCCTTATTGACAAATTTTAAATCACTACTCTTAAACCAGTCTCCATTTTATAGATTACTTAAGAAAACTGAACTGCATGGAGATCCAGAAAAGGGGTGGTATGCTGAGTTCCACATAGTACAACCATGACTGCTCAGCTGTGTTTGGGACTCTCCTGGGCCTGCTCCATGAGTCTCTCATGGAAGAGAGCAGGGGATGCTGAGCCCTAGGTGGTGAGCTCCAGAGAGATGGCTCCAGCCTCCTTCATGAATCTGTCACAAAGTAGCTCCATTCTGAGGAGAACATGGGTGGTTTGGGTGGGAACTGAAAGACAGATGTGGTATCCTGGTCTCTCCTAGAAAGAGGGTGTGTGAGCTGGGTAGTGTCAGGCCCTCGTTCTGAAACCTGCTGTGCTGCTTCTACCCTAGAGTCCTCTAGATATCAAATGGGGATGATCTCAAAGGCCCAGCCATGAAGACATTGTAGAGACTGCAAAGTTCTTTTTTTTTTTTTTGAGACTGCAAAGTTCTTTTGCTCAATTTGAGATACAGATCTTGATGAGGGAAGCAACATCACTGAAACAAGTTTTTTGTTTATTTGTTTGTTTTGTTTTTAAAGAAAGCGAAGCTATACTTAACTCTGTATTGAACAAAGAAATTTCCAAAGAACCATGTAGTTTTCACTTTCTTTTTTTTTTAAATATTGTTTTAGTTGTTGATAGCCCTTTAATTTATTTATATGTGGTGCTGTGAATCGAACCCAGTGCCTCACATATGCCAGGCAAGTGCCCTACTGCTGAGCCACAACCCCAGCCCCTTAAACAAGGTTTTATTAGAGTTTATGCCCAACCACAAAGGAGACAGCACATGGGACAGGGTTTCCAGAATGGCACCATGTGGAAGTGACTAATATAGTCTAATATAGTCTCTGGTGGCTGGTGTGGGGGCCCTGGTGGGTACTGCACACAGCTTAGGACTTCAGCACACATCTTGTCTGTTTTCTGCTCTCAGCATCAAGGTTTGCGCTTGATGTGGCTGTGTGCCCCTGTGCAATGGGTACATTTGCTCTTGGCTCCCAAAAGGTGGCAGAGGTGCTCACAACTGCTGCTCTGTGCAGGCTGCAGGAAACTCCCTCAGTGAGCTTTGAGGGAATTTGGTGACTTTTAGGTCTGGCTATTTGCAAAAACAATTTATGCCTAAAAGAAATACAGAAAAGCACTGAAAAATGGAATAACACCCTCTGGGGAGTGTTGGACCCCCTCCTATTCTAGCTTACTTCTAAAGGTCCAGAGGATGCCAGTGGTAATTTCAGGGGCTGCCTGAAAAGAGGAATAGAGCTAATGGTGATGTCCCTTGTTGATTTTTTCTTTTCTTTTCTTTTTAACAGCAGATCAGCTTCTAATACTTAGGAAAATCTTGTGTAAAGTAAACCCTACTTAAAAATGTACTGAGGACCCCAAATGGACTGACTCTATTGCTTTTAGGATAAAGTCCAATTTCTAGGTCTGGCCTTCTAGCCCTTTACAATCTTTACTCACCTTTTCCATCATCCCCCTTGACCTCTCCTTTCCCACTCTGGCTAACAGATGGCTCACTGTGCTGTTGATGTTATTCCTGTGTTCATGCTATCCTCTCTGTCTGGAATGCCCTCTGCCTAAATGCCTATGATAATGCCTATGACATGTGACTGCTCCTTTGTAAGACCTTTCTGAGGCCTTGCCAGCTGTAAGGACTCTATCCTGCCTTGGTGTTCCCTTTATCTTTCTGCATCAAAGTTGGCCTTGTATTGCAAGATTGTGAGTTGCTGGAGGTCAGGGGCATGACTGAATCTACTTGACCTCTTGCACAGGGTTTGGCAGATATTTCTGAGGCTGATGTTTCAAGGATTTAAATGATCAAAGCTTTCTCTACTGTACATACTCACTATTAAGTTGTTGAATTGGCAAAATTCAACTTTTCTTTTAATTTCTTAAAGTGGGACAATTCCAAAGAAGATTTTTCTATCTGTTGTCTTTATTGAATCATCTTTTGTGTTATTATATTGCAGAAAACTTGCTTAGTAGCCTGCCTTTGTCTCAGTGTCCAGAGTTGACTATGTAGGACACTGGAGGGGAGAGGGACATTTACTAAATAGCAGCTCTGTCCACTATGTACTGCCCTAGCTTCTTAACATTATCTTATTATTATAAGAATATATATAATATATATTCTTATAATATATTCTTATACTATATTTCAGTTGTTCTTATTTGTTACCCTCATTTTGCAGATGAAATCTGAGATCAGAAAGTAGCACTCACATGTGAACCCAATCTCTGATTCAAAACTTAAAGCTTTTACTTTACATTGAAGGAGGCTGAATAGATCCCTTTGAAGGTCACAGGCTCAGAGAACCTGCTATAGCCAGCTCTAAAGGAAGAGTTATTTTTGTTTGGTTTGGTACTGGGGATTGAACCCAGGTGCACTTTACCACTGAGCTACACCCCTAACCCTTTTTATTTTTTGAGACAGTCTCACTAAGTTGCTGAGACTTGCCTGGAGCTTGGGATCCTCTTGCCTCAGTCCCCCAAGCTGCTGGGATCATAGGCGTGCACCACTGCACTCAGCAGTTATTAGTTCTTAAAACATAGAAGCCAGTTGGCCTGGCGTTTGGGCATGTATTTCACTGTGTACTCCTTACCACAGATCTGGCGGCTCATGACCCATTCCATAGATGAAGGAGTAGAGGTGTCCAGTGATGTTTAGGGTTTGTGTAACTCCAGTCTACATGGTGTGGCTGCCATCCCATACCACCCTCCCAGAATGATGCTGTAGAAGCCAGAGCTGGGTCCTAGACCAGAGTCTCCATGTGGGAACTCCTTTCCAGAATTTCTTAGATAACATTTTTTTTTTTTAAATCCAGAATCCCTAGAAAAATCAATTGAGGAAATGAGGGAAAGTATCATAATTACCCTGTGAATACTAAAGCTTATTAGTATGGAAAGATTACTGATTTGAAAGAATCCACCTTAATTGAGCAAAAAACAAGAGCAGGAAACACTAACATGCTGAGCTGAAGAGAGAGCCCAGGCCTGGCTTGTGAGAGGGAAATTGTCGCCATCGAATTAATTGATCTTGTTTTTTGGTTGTTGCCATGTTAGAAGTGTGTATGTCTGGTCCTGTCTGCTGCTATCAGGGAGTTTTTCTTGTAAATAAAATAATTTGTACACATAGTATATATTATACAAATCCTGTGAGTGGTGCTCCAGAAAATAAACTTTAGATGCAAAATAAATTCTTAAGTTAGTTATTTGGACATGTGATTGATTTTAAGTGCTGTTAACCTTTCTAGGATATTCAAATGTCACATTATTTGGATAGTTTCTAGCAGATGCTCCAGCATTTAACTTTCCGTACAGGCTAGTCCTTTGTAAATAGTACTAAGCTTAATATGCTTACTAGACAAAATTTTGTCAGATACTTATAATACTGAGAGGAGTATGAAGAGTGAAGTATCTTAAAAACATTTGGGATTTGGAATCTCTAGAAATTCTAATCTCTCATTCCTGAATTCGAAAGGTAAATGCTGTGAATTGGGAAACACTGCCCGAGACCACAGAGAAGCAGGTACCCTCCAACCCAAGAGGCCCTCAGGTCTCAGGTGCATCTAGATAGCTGCTCACAGAAGAAACCACCCCCTCCCCTGGCTCCCACTGTGGCTTTATTTCCAGGACAGCTAAAGGGTGGAAGCCAAAGGAGTAGTACCAAAGACATAGGGTAGGAGTTATCAGT